TGCATTCAGTTCGGGTAGTTCATATGGGTCTAGAAATTTGTGGATATCTTTGAGATCTTCTATTTTATTGGAGTATAAATTTCCAAAGTAGTGTCTAATTACCTTCTGTATTTCAGTAGTATCCATCATGATATTTTCTTTTTTATCATGAATTTTAGTAATTTGGGTGTTCTTTCTCTTCATTAGTGTAACTAAGGGTTTCTCAGTTCTACAAGACTTTCAAAGAATTAACACCAATATTCCTCAAAGTATTCCATGAAATAGAAAAGGAGGGAATCCTTCCAAACTCATTTTATGAGGCTAATATCACCCTGATACCAAAACCAGACAAACTCACACGGAAAAAAAAAAAAAAAAAAAGTCAGACCAATATCCCTGATGAACATAGACGCAAAAATTCTCAATAAAATTCTGGCAAATCACTTACAAAAACATACTAAAAAGATAATGCATTATAATCAAGTGGGATTCATTCTAGAGATGCAAGGTTGGTTCAACATACAATAATCAATAAACCTAATTCATCACATCAAGAGACTTAAAAGTGTTTGACCAAAAAGAGCACCTCTTCGTGTTCAAAACACTAGAAAAACTAGGAATAGTAGGAACATATCTCAACACTGTAAATGCTATCTGTGCTAAGCCCAAGGCCAACATCATTATAAATGGAAAAAAAATTGAAAGCATTCCCTTTAAAAACTGGAACAAGGCAGGGATGCCCTCTTTCACCACTTCTATTCAGCATAGTCCTGGAAACTCTAGCCAGAGTAATTAGAGGAAAGAAATTAAAGGGATACAACTAGGAAAAGAAGAAGTAAAACTGAGTTTGCTGATGAGATGATTCTATATTTACAAGATCCAAAAAATTCCACCAGAAAACTCCTAGAGCTAATAAATCAATTCAGCAAAGCAGCAGGATATAAAATCAATTCTCAGACATCAAATGCATTTCTATACATCAGTGATGAATCCACTTCAAGAGAAGTTAGGAAAACTACACCCATTCACAATAGCGAAAGAAAATACTTGGGACTAAATCTAACAATAAAGGAAAAAGACCCCTATAACGAAAACTACAGAACACTAAAGAATTTGAAGAAGACTTTAGAATATGGAAAGATCTCACATGTTCTTGGATTAATATTGTCAAAATGGCCATACTACCAATCTATGAAATGGCTTTATATAGATTTAATGCAATCCAATTAAAATCCCAATAGCATTCCTCATAGAAATAGAAAAAACAATCATGAAATTTATTTGGAAAAAGAAGAGACCCAGAATAGCTAAAGCAATCCTTAGCAAGAAGAGTGAAGGAGGAGGCATCACAATATCAGACCTTATAAACTGTACTACAGAGCTATAGTAACAAAAACAGCATGGTATTGGCACCAAAATAGACATGTAGACCAATGGTACACACAGAAAACACAGAGATAAACCCACATGAATAAAGTTATCTCCTACTAGACAAAGGCACCAAAAGCATACATTGGAGAAAAGATAGCTTATTCAACAAATGGTGCTGGCAAAATTGGAAATCCATATGTAGCAAAATGAAATTAATTACCTATTTCTCACCCTGCACAAAAATCAACTCAAAGTGGATCAAAGACTTGGGCACTAGAACAGAGACCCTGTGCCTAATAGAGGAAAAATTAGGACCAAATCTCCACCATGTCAGCTTAGAAACTAACTTCCTTAACCAGACTCCTAAAGCACAAGAAATAAAATCAAGAATCAATAAATGGAATGGATTCAAATTACAAAGATTTTTCTCAGCAAAGGAAACAACAAATAATGTGAGGAGAGAGCTTACAGATTGGGAGAAAATTTCTACCATATGCACCTCTGATTAAAGCATTAATCTCTAGGACGTATAAAGAAATCAAAACACTTAGCACCAAAAAAACAAAACAAAAAAAACAACAAGTAGCCCCATCAATAAATGGGTTAATAACCCAATCAATAAATAAATTTCTTCTTCACAGAAGAAGAAATATAATCAATCAACAAACATGTGAAAAAATGTTCATCATCTCTAGCGATTAGAGAAAAGCAAATTAAAACTACTCTAAGATTTCATCTCACTCTAGTCAGAATGACATTTATCAAGAAGACAAGTAACAATAAATGTTGGCGAGAATGTGGGAGGAAAGGTGTACTCATACATTGCTGGTGGGACTGCAAATTGGTGCAAGGACTCTAGAAGGCAGTATGGAGATTCCTCAGAAAACTTAGAATGGAACCACTGTAAGGATTCTGGCTGTGGAAATGTTTAAGGCAGTGTTCACTCCTGGCGGGTAACAGGTGCTCTGTTTTCCACACTTAAAATATTCAGCAGTTTTTCCCTGGAACTAGTATGATAACTAATACATGTGCATTGCCTAGCTGCTATGGTAACATCCTTCATGAGGAGGCTCTGGGCTAGAGTCTTATCAGTCTTGACCTTGCTCTCAGACACTCAGCTCCTGGGAATAAAGGAATTCTCTTGTTAGTCAACTACAATGTTTCACTGAGCCTAAACCTGCCCACCTAACAATAACTTTATCCAATGGACTTTCTTGAGAGCTTCACAAAGCTCCTAACATTGCACATTGCAACTTAGTACATAACTGAGGAATAAACAGCATAATGTTGCTAGGTCCATAACCTGCCTAGTGATTCAATGAACAATATGTACTAAGGATGCCAATGACCTAAAGTAACCTATTGATATAAATAAAGCTAGCAGCTCAGGCAAGCAGCTTTTGCTTTGCCTCTGCACCTTGCTTCTGTCTCCTTTTGTTTTCCTTACAAACTACCATTTGACCCAGCTATCCCATTACTCAGTTTTTACCCATAGGACTTAAAATCAGCACACTACAGTGACACAGCCACATCCATGCTTATAGCGGCTCAATTTATGATAGCTAAACTATGGCACCAACCTAGATGACTTTCAACAGATGAATGGATAAAGAAAATGTGGTACATATACACAAAGGAATTATTACTCAGCCTTAGAGAAGAATGAAATTATGGTGTTTGCAGGTAAATGGATGGAGCTGGAGATTATCATGCTAAAGCGAAATAAGCCAAACCCAAAAAACCAAAGGCCAAATGTTTTCTCTGATAAGCAGATGCTAATCCATATTGGGGGTGGATGGGTGGCTAAAAATGAAGGAATTCTGGATTGTGTAGAGGGGAGCGAGGGGAGAGGAAGTGAGAATGGGAAGAACAGGGGAGTGAGATGGACATCATTATCCTACATACATGTATGATTACCCTACTGGTGTGACTTTACACCATATTCAGCAAAAGGGAGAAGTTGCTCTCTATTTGTATACAATGTATCAGAATACATTCTACTGTTATATATAACTAATTAGAACAAATTCTAAAAAAACAACTACACACACACACACACACACACACACACACACACACACGACAGTTTAGATTTATGATTTAATTGTCACTGCTCTCCCAACTGGATGATTCCTGCTGGTTAAAGAAAGACGAATCAATCATTGACTCATTGATTCTCAACCTGTACCCGCTGCTCTGGCCCCCCAACAAATTTACCACCCTTCTCTCCTGCAAAATAGAAAATCTAGTTTTACAAACAAGGAAATATGAATCACTGTAACAAAAGTGAAGGATACAGTCAGTCCAGAAAAGATCATTTGTGTGTCGATCATTTGTGAACCTTGAGATTCACTTGATGAAGAGAACTTTGCTGACTATACAGATTCTCAGAGATAATATGAATTGATAAGATTTAATAGTGCAGAGGTTTCTCAAGCTGGAAAGATGCAAAGTCTTGGTGTGTCCTTGAGTGCAACTTTCTTTTCCTGCTCAGGACAGTCCTTTCCCATAGTCCCTGCTTGCAAAAAAGTTAACACTGACCATGACCATTATTTGATGTGTGTATTACCCAGTGTTTTATCTTATTTGCCTGGACAAGACTTGGGAAAGCACTTAGCCTGAAAACTAAATTAATATATTTAAGAATTGATTAGTGAAGCAGCCATGGAATGGGGACATGTTAATATTTTAATAGGGGTGAAAACACTGGCCTTCACGAAGAGCTTCACTTATTGACCCCTCTGGCTTCATTTTATTCAAAGTAGTAAATAACATACCTTCCCTTAATCAAAAATAAATAAATATTTTTTTTAAAAAAAGAACTAAAAAGCCATGGTGGGGGATAGGAATCAAGCTGTACAACTGGTAAATTTCTATATTCTATGTGAAGTTGTACAATATTAATTGTAAGAAGACTATGAGAAGCAAAAATTGTTATGTTATAGTCCCAGAGCAATAATAAAAAAAGATGCAACCTAGGTAAAAGGCAAGAAATTAAAATGGAATTCTAAAGTCAAAGTCAAATAAACCTAAAGGTGGCAAGAACAGAGAGGAACAAAAAACTAAAAAATATATAATAAAATAGTGGATATAAATATATACTGCAACTAAATGGTGGAAATTATCAGAATGAATAAAAAAGCAAGATACAACTATGTCCCACCGGAATTTTACTTTTAAAAAACAAAAACAAATAAAAAACAGGCAGGAAAGCCTGAAACTGTGGTAGCAACTCTCACTGAATGTGAGAAAACGAATTTTGAGAAAACGAAGGATAAATAACTTCTGCATCCTATGAAGACTTTTTGTATCCTTAAAAAGAGAAATAAGTAGCAAAATTTACATATAGTGCTACTCTAACAACACAGACTTAATATATTAGTAGCCCCTACTCTTTATACTACATTCTATTAGCTTGGAAATACTTGACCAATTAAGACAGCAGTTCAAAAAATAAATTGCTCATATTCCAATAATTCCAACACATTCCTACTAGTTTGAGAGCTCCTAAAAAGTATGAAATCATGAAAGCTCCTAAAAAGTATGGAATCATGTTAGTCTTCTGAAGTTTTAGTGTATAAGTACATAAATAAAACATATCCATGGAATGGGGTAACCAGCAAAAATACTAAAGAAAATTCCCTACTTACCGTTTGAAGCCTCTGGGCCCACTAAACAGGTAGAAGATGCTTTTGCTATATATCCAGGCTGGGTTAAACCAAGTTCAGATGATTTCTTAGAGAAAACAGGTAAAAAGTAAAGAAGCATTATATTTTATTACGTGTAGTATAACTTAAACTTGATGCAGATTTTAGTAGGCATCATGGATTACCTGGAAATTTGGTGTTCAGTCACCTTATTATCTAACAAACAAACTCAAAGTGAACAGGAATCTAACAGAGGAGTATTCATCTTAATTGTATCCTAAACATCTCACAAAATAAATTTTCAGTCCCCTAGAAAAAGTTTAAAGGACATATTTATGTTGCCTATTGAAACTGCTACCTTCAAAGAGGAATGTCTTAAAGTGTTATGTAATAATCAAATACCAAAAGATAAACAGCTAGAATGAAAGAAACATTAATGGCTAGGACAGAATATATATTCATACTAATTCAGAAACCATTTCTATATTGTGGTACATGTCCAATGAATCAAAGTTCTGATAAGAAAAAATCATTATGGCTTCTGTCGTATCATGTAACTCTAGCCAGAATAAAGCAGAGTGAGCAAAGATTATGGACAACTCTGGGACACAAATGAAACCTATTAGAAATTGAAGAATCTCTAGTGAGTATGAGAGATATATTATAACTGTTATATACAAATCTAAGTGACAGGGACGGTGCAGAAAAAAGTTCCGGCTGTTTAACAGTTAGATGCCCCTCTCACAAAGCAAATGAGAACCTACTGAATCACACTAGAACAAGGAATATAAAGCAACAAAAGCTACGACACTGGCTCCCTGTTCCCTCTTGCATAACGGTCAGCAGATCTTCAAGAGTATGATTTTTCTCCTGTTTTAGTAAAATTCATGTTGGTTATTGTTCTTAGAGAATTTTACTAGCTAGGTAGTTATAAGCCACAAAAGTCCCTGATGTACTTGAAACAAGGAGGAATTGCTAAAGGGCACCTAGATTCCCAGCCAGTATTAACCCAGTCAGGCGCAACAAGTGCAAGACCTTAGACCTAAGCAGCACCTCCCAGAGATCACCCTACATGCAACTGCAGTGTAACTGATGTTTAAATTATCTGTCCGTTTAGATCCTACTTTCCTCGACAATAAGCTGCTTGAAAGCAAGACTAAGACCATCAAACCATGACCATCTAGAATAACATATCATGCAGATGACACAGAACTTAAGCTTTTCATAAAGTCCTTTGTGGAAGATCAACATATCTATCAAAACTATTTCTAGCCAGGTCTTGGTGGTGCACATCTGTAATCCTAGTACCTCAGGAGGCTGAGGCAGGAAGATCACAGGTTCAAGGCCACCTTTAGCAACTTAGTGAGGCCCAAGCAACTTAGATTGATCCTATATTAAAATAAAAAATAAAAAGGGCTGGGAAAACCACTCAGTAGTAGAGTGCCTCTGGATTCAAAGCCCAGTACTAAGAACAAAGAAAACAACACAAAACTGTTTTTAGTAAATGACATTAGAAGTAACATGCTATATGTATATAGGAGACCAATGTGATTCTGCAATCTGTAGTCAGAAAAATGAGAAATTATACCCCAATTGATTCAAATGTATGAATTGCCAAGATCATTGTAATGTCATGTGTAGCTAAAAAAAAAAAAAAAAAAGTAACATGAAGGAAACACCAAACACAACTTAAAACCCTAGCATCTACATGTCACAAGAAAGCAATAACATTGAAATAAGGCCTTGACAGTCTTAAACCACCCAGGCAGGAAACCAGAGCTCCATTCGTGTGTGTAAAATAAATGAATTACCTCAGGAAGATCTGCAGAAGCTTCATCAGCACACATGCCATCCACATCCATACTAAGGATCTGAAGATCCATCACTCCCCTTTCGACATTGCTGAGGTTGTCATCAGAGCTGCTCTGCAAGGATATTCTCCGACGTTTGCATGGTAACTTTTCAGAGAAACCAGACTGCTGACATTCACCAAGACCTTCCATGTTGGCTACACACACAAAATGACACAGGAATCAACATTTTTTTCCTAAGCTATTTTAAAATTTTGTACACTATAAAAATTGGGGGAAAATTCAGTGTTTAAATTATCAATGAAAAGAAATAATTTTTTTTTTTACATCTTTAACCTTTTTACTCAAAAAGGAGATTGAGTTGACAGGCAAGAAAACATGACTACTAAAAAGACAATAAATTTAATTAGAATTATGGGATTTTTAGAATGATACACTAAAATACATGTGCATTTCTAATAGGGTGTCTCACTCTTTCTAAATTTACCATTAAGCCTTTTATTTTGAACATTTTAAAGGATGTGGTTATGTTCTAATACTGCTGTGTTTTTATTGTGACTTTTGTGAAAAAATGCAACTGTAATGTGCCTCAGTTCTTTCTTAATACAAAAAAAAGAAGCCCTAACCCTTGATAATTCAAAGTCAGCAGAATTATAATAATGATACAAATAAAATAAATTTTAAAACCCAGATAAAAATCCAAATATAGGACATCTGAATGGGTCATGCAATGCAGAGGTGAATGAATCAGACATGTTAACAGTAGACTGCACACAGAAAGTACTGAAATGTACCTGAAGATGGTTTAAGCAGTGTTATGGATTGTATGTGAGGTGTCCCCCAAATGCTCATGTGAGAAAGCATGCTAGAAGGTTCAGAGGAGAAATGATTGTGATGAGAGCTTTAACCCAATCAGTGAATTAATCTCCTGATAGGACTAAGTGGTAACTGAAGGCAGGTAGGGTATGGCTAGAGGGGGTTGGAACTAGGGCGTGGCTTTGGGGAATATATATTTTGTATCTGATGAGTAGAGTCTCTCCCTGCTTCCTGATCATCATGTGCACTGCATCCCTCTGCCACATTCTTCCGCCATGATGTTCAGCCTCATCTCAAGCCCAGAGGAATGGAGTCAGCTATCTATGGACTAAGACCTCTGAAACTGTGAGCCCCCAAATAAACTTTTCCTCCTCTAAAATTATTCTTATCAGGTCTTTTAGTCACAGCAGCAAAAAAGCGGACTAAAACAAGAAGTCAAATGAGAATCATTTGTGCTCGCTTCGGCAGCACATACACTAAAATTGGAAAGATACAGAGAAGATTAGCATGGCCCCAGTGCAAGGATGACACACAAATTCATGAAGTGTTCCATATTTTTAAATTCTTAAAAAAAAAAAAAAAGTCTAATAAAGCAAAAAGCATCTTTTCTTAAAAAAAAAGAGAATCATTTGAAACCTAGGCATGTGAAGTACTAAAGGAATAGTTATACTGATTGCAGTAAGTCCAAGATTTTGTTGAGTTCTGGTATTTCAAGTGCTTTGTATTTGGAAAAACAAAAAATGACTAAAAAATAACCAAATGAATTATAATTTAAGAGGTACAGCAAAGAATACAGCAGATCATTAAGATATCAGATTGGACATATATGTGGTTAACCTCAGAGTTGGGTATTTGGTATTCACATAAATGTTTGCAAAACTAAAAGAATAATCCTATTAAAAAATCAAGGTTTATAAACTCAAATTTGCCACATATCCTATTCTAAAGCTGATATGAGCTAATAAGCTCTATTTAAAACTTAGAACTCAATTGCAATGATGTGAAAATGAAGGTTCAGGAATGCTTGATATTAGATTTTTTTCAAAAGAAACCAGAAATCCAGATTTCTGTGTGATATGTCCCAATTTTAAATGTTAGGCTCCATTTAAAGATACAATGGAACTCTGCAAAAACTGTTTTCTCACAGTGAAAATAAATCTTCTTTATATCTTAGAAACTTGTCTTTATCAACACAGAAGTCAGAATACAGAATGAATTCTTGACACTCACTCAAACCTGTTGTCTCAAATCCTCCTCTCACTCCTGAGAATTCTGGACAATCAATCATTTTCTCATCTTCCTTTATGGAGTGAAAAGCTGTCTGGAAAGCAGATATCCGCTCTCTTAATGAGCTAACATTTTGATACAGTCCAGGGCTGCCCTGTTATAGTACAAAAACAGAGTATTATCAATCAAGCTTAGTTTATTCTAGGCCTATAATCACTGAATCTAAAACTAAATACACAAAGGCCTTTTGAAGATCAGATGTAAAGAATAGGTATAGCAAAGCTTCTTCTACCTGGAAGTCTGCATTTTCTATCTGAATATGTAGTATACTACAATCATTTTAATTTCCCCTCTGTTTTTCCCAGTTTTTAGCAAAACCTCAGGGAAGAGGAATAGCTAAGTGGTATGGATAGATGTGTAGCTATGTGCTAATACTGAGTAATGAGCCCATGAATCATGTTAAGAGAAGCTTGGAATAGGTGGAAATGCTTTAGAAAGGAGTCCAGATAAAATGCATTCCCAGTTATATGGGATTAACAACTCTTTAAAGGATTCCAAGGCCCTTAAGTGCTTTCTTTCACACCTTGGTATCCAATACAAAAACAAAACAACAGAAAAACACCATACTGAATCCCAGAGATGGGGCAAGGAAGAAGGGGCTGGAGGGTCCTGCTTATTTGGAAATTTCATCAAAAGTTGTGCTAAAACTGCAAGTCATCTGTGTGATGCCTTGTCACATGTTTCATCTCAGCACACCTTCAATCCAAGCTGGTCTCTATACTCATCCTCAGTCTGCAAAAGTCCCCTGCCAGGGGAAGTCAGAATAAGCATAGAAGTTCCACACTGGCTCCTGACATCCCTCCTCATAGAGCCAAAGAGCTCTCCCTGGCTACCTTTTCCTGATCTTATGGAACTTAGGAACGAAAGCCAGACACTCACTTAACATACAAACCTAGATGGGGCATGCCCAGGAGCTCTCTGGAAACCCTTCTGACAGGGCGCCAAGCAAATACTAATAAAATGAATTTACACTAGCAGGTACAGAAGTGCCACATGACAGGTGATATAAAATTTAAGAGTTCTGTCAATATCAATAGTAAGTTAGTGGTAAATTCTCTCTGCAGGATTTTTGGTGTTTTGTTTTTCCTTCCTTTATTACTTGGACTAACACATTTCCACTGATAGGAGCTTGTAGCAATTCAAAAATTCACATCAAAATGCAAAAGTAAAAGAAAGATATTACCTTCCCTTAAGATATCATATGGAGGGAAATAAACAGTTAAAATCTTCAAGTCATGTTGGATGATCTGTTCATACATTTGATTCTATCCCTAGTACATTCATAAAGCAAGTCTATTACATAAAAGCAGAACATTTTAAATTCAAATACACTTGATGATGTAAACCTTTATGACATAAAGAACACATATTATTCAAAAAGTTTATAGGTCACTTGTCTCTAGGAGTGATGGGACAAGATTATCTCAATGGCATATGAATTGCTTTTAATGTGCTTTGTGTGTACTCATATTTGAACATGATAGGGTTGATGTAATGTTCTAGAAACTTGGAGCACTTTGAAATGCAGCTTAATACAAACTATAAGTTTTCCTACTTGCAATGTTGTTTTCCTGCTGGAGGAAGAGAACAAGGTTCATGTACTAAGTAAATGAAACAGTCAAAACGTACAGCTTTTTGCCACTTTTGTCTTCTCAATCATGTCAGTCAGCCAACATTCCTTTCTGTGAACCAGAACCTGTTCTAGGAGCTTAAGATGTGGGAGGAATTACATTCCAGAGTGAAATTCTGAAAACATATTAAAGTAAGTTTGAGGACAAGAGATTTTGGAAAATATAAAATATGAATATGGCCAAGTCACTAAAGTGCTGAACACCTGAGATGAAACCACAATAATGGGAAAGTGGTGCAGGGGAAAAAGGTGTTCTGCAAGAATTAGGAGAAGTGAGCAGAAGCTCTTGGTGGAAATAGGATGGGGCAAAATGAAAGCCCACTGACTGGAAGCAAACAAGAGAAGGGCTTGTAGGGCTCAGATCAAGAGGGACCAGAAGCCTTCAGGATTTAAATCAAGGCATAACAGAAAGCCATGGCAAAGTTTTAAGGAGCAGAGTCAAGGATCTCATTTATACTTTAAATATACCTCTTTGATCTGTGTAATGATAGATAGATTAGGGAAAAAGGAAAAAGGAGACCAGGTAGGAGGAAGCAGTTGGTGACACTGGCTAGAGTCACTAAAGCAGAGTTGTAGCTGTGAGGATGTGAAGAATTATAGGTAGGCTTTTGAAATGCAGCCAAAAAGTAGTGATAACTTGGAGATGGGACTAAGGAAGACAGGAATCAAGAAAGATTAAAAGGCCTGAGGCCTGAGCAACTAGATGATGATGGCTTTCCCTGAAATGGGAGAGTGGGCTAGAGGATCTGCTGGAGGGTGGGTATCAACAGCTGGGTTTTGGCTAGGTTATGCTGGAAATGTTTTTCAAAACCCAAGGGAGCTTGGCTGGGGTAGTGGTTCAGCAGTAGAGCGTTTGCCTAGAATGTTCTAGGCCTGGGTTTGATCCTCAGCACCACATAAAACAATAAATAAATCAAATAAAGGTATTGTGCACAACGACAACGACAACAACAAAAACCCCAAGGGAGCACCAGGCGCAGTGGTGCATGCCTTTAATCCCAGCAGCTCAGGAGGCTGAGACAGGTTGCTGAGTTCAAAGGCAGCTTCAGGAAAAATCGAGGAGCTAAACAACTCAGTGAGACCCTGTCTCTAAATAAAATACAAAAGCTAGGGCTGGGAATATGGCTCAGTGGTCAAGTGCCCCCAAGTTCAATCCCTGGTAACACCTCCGATCCCCCCGCCCCCCAAAAAAACCCACAAGGGAGCAACTGAATAGTGGGCCGCTGTTATCCAGGACTTTGGGGCTGAAGACAGACATTTCAGACTCATCAGTGTAGAGATGATTCTCAAATCAAAGAGAAGGAGACAAAGAAGAGGCCTATACTGAAAACAGAGCTGACCAAGGCTCTTCAATGAATAGTGATATTCCCACATTAACTTTTAGAGCTCTAGGACTCAGGTTTATACCACCAGGAATTCTTCTCAGGAAAGCAGATCAGCCAGAGAAAAGATTCATAGATTACATTTGTTTCCCCAGGGAAAAAGTGGCCCTGTTTGTCTTACATAGAAATTCACTAGTTAGCAAGCCCTGTCTGTGCACCTTGAATTCCCAAGCAGTTTTTCAAAGTGCCTGAGTCTTAAATACAAACATCTGAAGATTAACAGACATTTAAAGTGCTGAGAATAAGACAATCTAAAATACAGCCCGCAAAATAAAAGGAACCTGATGAAAAAGACATCTTGAAAGGCAAGGAAGAAAACCTCAATAAAACAATCCACAACAAAAGATATTCCATCATAAAAAGAAACATGAAAAGTCAGCCATCAAAATATTTGTTGAATAAATGAATGATCAGAGCTATTCAACTCTGTAAGCCAAAATACAATGGAGTAATGCTTTCAAATTTTTGATGGAAAATATTTCAACCTAGATTCCTGTACCAAGAAAAACAATGTAATGTGTTAGTAGAATAAATCTATCAAATATGTGGCAATTCCAGAAAAATGAGGTAGTAAATTAAGAAAAAGGAGACCAAGGAAATGGGATCCAAATGGAAGTGGAAAAGGTAATTACTAGGGATGGTATAAGAAGCTACAGAATGGTGTCTGCCCAGCAAGCCTAGATGGCAACCAAGCCAGACAGGACGAAAAGGGCAAGACTCCAAGAAGAAAAGAAGACTGATAGACTCTTAAGGTTCACAGTTTTTGTCAAGTAAGGAAATGAGATATGTAGTAGATTAAAAGAAAAAAAAAAAAGTACTTATTAACTCTGGAAAAACAAAAGTTGTGCAAGAAAGAAAACCACTGCATTGTACAGAACAGTTTCTGGAAAATATGTACATTTAAGTAATGCATACCAAACCCTAATTTAAACAAAAATTGTACCTGATGGCACTGGAGGGAGAAAGGGGAAAGCATTAGGTTAGGTAGGTGAAGCACTATACTATACCAACTGTTTTGCTATAGTTATTTTCAGTAGTAATAACTATAGCAAAATCAAACCATTCCATGCATATTCTAGGAAATGCTATAAGTACATCACATTTATTTATTAATCCTCAGAAAGTCCTTGCTATTATTATCACCTGATTTAAACTTGGGAACAGAGAATTTAAGTAATTTGTCAAAAGTCACAACTAATTACTAACAAAGCAAAGATAAAACCCAAGCAATAAAGCTTTAGACTCCATGCTTGTATCTACTGTAACAGCAGACCTCAACACGGTTTCCTACTCTTAAAAATTATCAAGTACTCTGAGCTATGTATGTTGGTTACATCTATTAGAAGTATTTTAACAGCCTTTTCAGAATTGTCAATCTTCTTTACTCAATAAAACTCATAAGATTTGTTAAAAGTTAATCACAACGTCACACACAAAATTCTATCAATTAATGTTTCACATTCTGTTATGTTAAAATCCAATCTACTTTGCAGTATAGAGGTTATCTTTTAACCATGCAAGTTTAAAAAAATTTTTTTTTTGTTCTAATTAGTTACACATGGCAGTAGAATGCACTTTAAAACACCATATGTAAATGGAGCATAACTTCTCATTCTTCTGGTTGTGCATGTACAATCACACCGGCCGTGTAGTATATATGCACACAGGGTAATAATGTCCAATTCTTTCTACTATTCTTCTTACCCCCCCTGCCCCCTCCCTTTCCTTCAGCCTAATCCAAAGTAACTCTATTCTTCCCTAGCCCCCTCTCCCTTGTGAATTAGCATCCTCATATCAGAGAAAACATTTGGGTTTTGGGGATTAGCTTACTTTGTTTAGCATGAATACTCTCCAGCTCCATCCATTTACGAATCTGCCTCAAACAAATAATTCTTACCAATGAGAAAATTTGCATTTGTAAGAATAAATTAGAATTTTAGAAACCATGCATCCACTACTATTAAGCCTGACAACTTTCTGAGAGATACTTCAATGGATCAGTAGGAATATTTATGAAGTATTTTACTATTGCCTAATAGAATGCATCAGTATTTGGAAGATAATATAGTGAATCAGTACTTTCCAAATGACTGGGGCATACTGTTAAAAAATCTTGCATGGGCATACTTTTTCCACACATCCTCATCAACACTTATTGTTGCTTATGTGCTTGATAATTGCCATTCTGACTGGAGTGAGATGAAATCTTAAGAGTAGTTTTGATTTGCATTTCTCTGGTGAGACTGCAAATTGGTTGCACTATGGATATTCTTCAGAAAACTTGAAATGAAGCCAGCATTTGATGCAGCTATCCCACTCCTTGGTTTATACCCAAAGGACTTAAAATCAGTATACTACAGTGATGCAGCCACATCAATGTTTAAAGCAGCTCTCAACTCACGATAGCTAAACTGTGGAACCAACCTAGGTGCCCTTCAACAAATTAAAGGATAAAGAAAATGTATATATATATGTATACACACAATGGAATATTACTCAGCCATAAAGAAGAATGAAATTATGGCTTGCTAGTAAATGGATGGAACTGGAGACTATCATGCTAAGTGAAATAAGTCAGTCCCCCCAAACCAAAGGTTGAATGTTCTCTGATATGTGGATGCTAACACACAATGGGGTGAGGGAAAGTAGGAAAAGAATAGAAAGTCATTGGATTAGTCAAAGGGGAATGAAGGGAGGGGGGTGGGAACAGGAAAGACAGTAGAATGAATCGAACATAACTTTCTTATGTTCATACGTGAATACAGGACCAATGTAACTCCACATCATGTTCAACCACAAGAATGGGAAGTAATATGGGGCTAAGATTGTGGCTCAGTGGTAGAGTTCTCACCTACCCATGCATGAGGCACTGAGTTTGATCCTCAGCACCACGTAAATGAGAAATAAAGATATTGTGTCCACCTAAAACTAAAAAATAAATATTTAAAAAAATGGGAAGTTATATAAGTACATATAATGTCAAAATACATTCTACCATCATGTAGAACTAAAAAGGACAACAACAAAAAAAATGTTTTTAAAGATTTTTAAAGCAGGAAAGAAAAAAGTTGGAAAACAATAAAACAGTGCCTCATCTCATTCTAGAAAAATAGACAAACTGAAAAATGTTAGTAAAATAAATAGAAAGCTCCTCTGGAAAGAAAACCATTTCAATCCAAGGCCACCTAACTCTTATCCATGTTTAACATTATCATTTATGTTAACTGCAAATTCTCTGCAAGACACAGAAAACACACTACAAATCCAAAATTTCATAATAAACCAAAATATTTTCCTAGAAGAATTCATGAAAGAATGTACAAGAAAACTATACCTGAAAGGGAGAATCCTGTGCCAAAGATGTTCTCTTAGCATTCTTTAAAATCCTCCGCTGAGCAATGAAACGAATCAGATGGTTTGTTTCAGGAGAGCCCCGGGTGCCAATTGAAGAACGTCGACGAGACTTTTTTGTAATGAAATTCTCTTATAAATTGGAACAAAACACAGCAATCATTAGTAATCATGTCCAAAGCTGGTGATGTACCAGCCTGAGAGAGAAAACATGACATGTTACACAATACTAAGTAGAGAATTATTGGCAAGGTAATTCTAACCATCATCAATTGGGTAGAAATCTTTGTTTTGTCCACTCATTTAGTCCATGCTCCTAAAATAGTGCCTGGCACATAAAAGGCATCTATGAAAGTTGTCGAAAGATACAATAACACATTTCATCTAGTAGTTTTATTTTTGTTCCATATTTCCTACATACAGAGGTGAGTAATGGCTTTCTTTTGACTAAGAACTCCTCCTTTTTTTGAATTAGTTTTATCCACAATGACAGAAAGATTACCTAAGCACCTGAATAGCAGTCCCCCTTTACCCATGATTTCAGTTACCTAGGGTCACCCAGCTGGAAAACATTAAATGGAAAATTCCAGAAATAAACAATGCATAAATTTTAAATTGCATTGTATAACAGATGAAATCTCAAGTTCTCCAACTCCAACCTATCTAGGATATGAAACAAACTTTGTCAGGCATGTCCAGCATACCCACACATTAAGTCACTTAGTAGCCACATGGGCTATTTAAATGGTCTGATAGTATTTGTGTTCATGTAAACATTATTATACTTAATCATGGCCTGAAGCTCAAGAGTAGTGATATTGGAAATTCAAACATACCAAAAAGAAGCTGCAAAGTGCTTCCTTTAAATGAAAAGCACAATAAGATGTTTAGAGAAACAGAACAACTTCATATGACTTACTACAGTAAAGTTATAATTTTTCTGTTATTAGTTAGTTGTTCTTAAGCTTTTACTCTACCTAATTTACAAGTTAAACTTTCCCACTGATACGCATGTACAGGAAGGAAAAAACAAGCACATACAGGGTTAAGTTCTATCTTCAGTTTCAGAAATCCACTGGGAGTCTTTGAATACATCCCTGTGGATAACAGCAGCAGGTTGTGAGGGTAGAGACCACTACTATGCTCTTTTGCTCTTAATCTTTCAAGGTAATTTTTTTTCTGAGATACCTACTTACCTTCAGCACACTACCCTAAATTTTGCCCTTTTGCCTGAGTACAAAACAGATCTAGCGTTTTACAGTCCTAAGAGTGATGTTCCTTTTTTCTTTTTTAAAATATTTTTTAGTTGTAGACAGACACAATACCTTTATTTGATTTACTTTTATGTGGTGCTAAGGATGGAACCCAGTGCCTCACATGTGCCAGTCAAGCATTCTACCACTGAGCCACAACCCCAGACCCAAGAGTGATGAACACAGAACAACAACAACAAAAACAAACAAAAAAGAACACAGAACAAGTGCCACTTCAGCCTTGTCTCATTCATGTCTCATACTGCGCGATAACGATTGGTCTCTCCAGTCTCCTGCTATCCTCCATTTCTAAATGTCATTCTCTAATCCAATTCTATTCCCATATTTCTTTCTTATCCACCGAAGTCAGACTTCACTGGTGAATTTCATTTCTACTGCTTGAACACCAGCCCAAGTCAATTTTCTGTTTGTGATTTTTAAAAGAGGCACATGCCAATCTATTGATGTTATTTTTTTGAATTGATCCTCAACTTCCACTTATTTTTGCTATATATAAACATTAATGAACGACTATTCCTATTATACACCCTCTTAGATCCCCCTTGTTGGGTCAAAAAGTGATTCACACAGTTTTCCAAGATGGGCATGGAACACACCTGATTTAGGATCATCATCAAGCTGGGTGCTCCAAGACCTTATTGCCCCCATCTGCCATGCTAGATGAGTTGGGCATGTGCACTGAAGTCACCCAGGCCATGCTGCAAGCCTATGATCCCAGAAACCCAGGAGGCTGAAGCAAGAGGATTTCGAGGCCAGCCTCAATCTTTGTGAGACCCTGTCTCAAAAAATAAAAAGAGCTGGGATGTAGCTCAGTTGCAGAGTCCCTGGGTTCAATCCTCAGTACAAAAAATTTAAAAGGCAAAAATAGTACAAAAGGTAAAAAAAAAAAATCACCTGAATAACCAAGTTTGCAGAGTCAATCAACTTAGACACCTATTGTAATAAGATGGAGAGAAACAACAAAACTAATTATACTAATGTGATTTTTATACCTGAAAAGCAGTACAATAGAATGACAACTTTTCTTACCTGAAGAGTTCTTAACAGAGCTTTCAGGTGTAATTCCCAATTGTTCTATGGTTGCTGTGGAAAAGTTCAAAGATGATTTAAAAGTATCTGGTGTGCAAAGATCAGGATTCATTCCTGCTGCATGCTTCTGAGGAATCACAAGCTTTCCAGTTCCCAAAATGAAAGCAGCATTTTCTGAAATGGACAAGATGTTGTAGGGCATAAACATCATTATCAAGATAAATACCTAAACCTTAAATTTCATGAAGAGGCAACAGATCACCACATACCAGCTTTATTAATTGCAGACTCTTTGATTTCAGAAGGCTCCTTGTCTTTTGAATTAGTATCCATCTAGAAGACAAAATTTAAAGAAACAAAAAATAACCCACCACCAAAATTAATGTGGCTAGACTAAAATCCTTATTCAGGATTGAATGCCAATACAATTTATATCAGCATGAATAGATTTTTTTGAGGTATAATGGCACAACACTTAAAACCACCACCAATCTTCACACAATAATTTTAATCTTTGTGTCTGGGCTAGCACCATCTTGCACTCTGACATTCCTATGTATACACAAGCAATTGCTTACACAAAAATAGATACTGTAATGTTTTCTTCTTGGATCATTTTTGCTCCAAATTACAATTACACGTAAGTATGTCGCTGATATACACAATTCACTTTCAACTGGGAAGTATGGCAACTTCCTATGAGAGGGAGCTAACCCGTAATTCTAAATATTTTGATTTTTTTTTTTTTTTTTTTGTATATAGCTGCCATAAAAAGAGCTGTTGAGAGAGAAAGAAATGGAGTTACTGCTGTTCAGCTTGAAACAAAGCAGACCCCTCAATCTTTCTGGATATGTGAGTCATCTGTGTATCCCCGATAAAGAGGCAGCTGTGTGCATTTCCCGAAATTCTAAGTGAGCAGGTCTGGAGGGACCCCGGAAAACTCATTCTAAAGACCACCCCGGGTGACCCAGGGCAAGTCGTAAGTGGGTCACCTTCCGCGTCCCCGTGCGAAGTGCTAAGTCCAGCAATTCCGAGAGACACCCCGGAGAAGGAGCACTGCCAACCCACCCCGAAGCCAGAGCCCTGATGCGGGCCTACCTCTCACGCCCACCTCGAAGCGCCCCGCGCCCGGGTTTGCTCTGAGAGCACCGCAGCGGACCAGAGTCGCGGCTGTCTCCCTCTGTGGACCCTAGCTCTTCAGGGGGCTGCTCGCCACGTCTGCCCACCGCGCTGCGCCCCGCGTCCCACACCGCACCTAGCGGTCCCCTGCCAGCCCACCGCTCCACAGCCGCCCGCCGCCAGATTCAAATTGCGGCCCCGCCCCCTCGATGCCGGCGTAGCCTCCGGAATCTGTACGCCGTGCGCCACCCGAACTCTCCTAGGCCTTTCTCTGGCCGTCAGGCACAGGTGAGGGCCCCTGGGACCGGAGAGTAGCCACCACTATCTACAGGCACGCCCCCGATAAAGCTGACTGACTGCTTTCCTGAGTCCCGGGCACTATTTTTTTGTGAGAAGCTCGCGGAGTAACCATTTAGCCGTTTAGCTCCGGGCCCAACCTTTCGATTGGATGCCGCAAACTTCGAAAAGAATCATTAGACCAATCCTGACAGAACGACGGACTGGCTCTTTTACCCAATCAGCCAATCCTGACTGCAGCCGTTTCCGCTGTGGGTTGAGCGAGTGGGAGGAGTTTTGTGCGCGGGTCTCTTCTAGCACTCCACCTTCTTCCTCCAACCCCGCCTCCGTATGCAGATAAGTGCCAACTAGAATTGAGCGTGCGCTTGCTCAATAACGCGTAGAGCAGCCGTTCGGCTGTAGTTTAGGCTCTGATTGGCCAATATCCCTTTCCGTCTAGTAGCATTCAGCCTCTGTTCCCTTCCTCCGCCCCGAGTGGGTTAGTTAGAGTCCACCCAGTGCAGGACTCTGATTGGCTAAGTGCTGGCCGGCGCCGCGATTTGATTGGCGAAGCTCAGTGTCGGTCTCGGAGCGGTGGGGGAAGGGCCGCTGGCAGGCAGAGGCGCCTAGGGGCGGGGTGGGAAGGAGGACCTGCCAACCCTGGGGTGTGGGACTGAGAGTGCGTGTGTGTGGTGTGTCCGCCAGAGAAGGAAGGTGGCGAAGGGAGGAGAGCCCGAGTGGGTGGAGGGAGGGGAAGGGCGGGAGGAGAAAAAGGTGGGCGGAGGGCCAGGTGGGAGGGTGGCGGCTCACTCAGGACCCGGCGGGGGCAGCGCGATGAGGCGGGTGACCCTGTTCCTTAACGGCAGCCCCAAGAACGGAAAGGTAAGGGGTCGGGAGGAGGCGCGGCCGGCTGGCCGCGGGGGCGAGGCGCCGAGTGCGCGCCGGGCGCAGGCAGGGCTGAACTTGGGCGAGGGTTGGGAGCGGGAGGTGGGCGTGCGCCGGGGCGCGTCGGGTCCCCGCGGCCTCCGCCAACCCGGCTGCGAGCCCCAGCCCGCCCCGCGCCTCGGCTGCCCGGGACCAGCGCCGACCCGGCTGCCTCTCCGCGGTCCTTGAGTCCAGGGTAGGGGTCCTGGAGGAGGAGAGAGCGGGGCGCGCCCAGGGCCGAGGTCCTCTCCCACCTCGTCCCCTGAGACCCCGCAGCCCCCTCGCCTGGCCAGAGCGGGCGCCTCTGTCCACCTGGGTGCTGAGTAATGCTGCCCGGGAAAGTGGCAGTGCCAACAAAGGCTTGTCAGACTGGCCAGGTAAAAAGAATTAAACTACCAGTGGAAGCGGGGGTAAATCCTAGGTCGGGTAGAGGATTTAAAAACGGGGACATCTTCACGATGGTTTTCCTCTGGCTCTTTTAGTGCCCCAATTACCTGAGCCCCGCTGCGGTAACAAACTTCTGTGCACGTTTTATTATTTCGCCTAATTTTGATTCCTCCGAAAACTGTGACAACAGACCAACAAGAGTTGATTTGACAGCCTTGGCTGTGTTGAGCCTTTGTTGAGGGTGTGGTGCTAAATATTTTTCCAGTGCTGGAGCAAGCCAGAATGAGTCCTGTTCCTTCTCAGTCTCCTGCCCCACCCATGAAAGTTGTTCAGCTTCTTTGGAAAATTTTGACTGTTCAAGGCAGGCGTTTATTGTGTGGCTGAGTGACACCCAGAAGCCGCTGAGTCTTTAGACTGGAGGTAAAAGTAAATTGGCCTCATTCTGTTCATTCCCAGTATACTTTGATTTCTGAGCATTCTGAAAACAATAATTTTTAAAATGGCACAACTGGCCAGGCACATTTAAAAAAAAATGTTTTTTCCACCTACTCTGCAGTTTTGAGTAAACATGTTCTGAACCACAGTGTGGGATTTATTGACTATAATTTTGTGTTCTGGTCTTGGAGATTTAATACTCATACAAAACAGCATTGGCGTAAAGTCAAGTTCCTGAATTCCCAAACCTCAAAAATGTGCTTCACAACTTAACGTTCCTTAAACCTGTTTTGTAGTTAGGTAGCATTCCTAATCTGAAATCTATGTTGTTATTGAAAGATAGAACCAAAGTGATAATTTGCCTCAAAGGCAAACCTCTTACTGTTTTATCCACTATCTCTGGTGTTAGTCTATGAAAAAGTTTTTAAACTGAGTCATAGATGTTTAGCTAAGTTCTAAATCTTCTTTGAATCCATTGAATTTTTTGGTTATCAGAATTAGGTTTATCTGTTTATATTGTTATTTTAAAGCTATCATAGTTTTGACTAGCATAGATTTGGGGGTTTAATTTTTTTTTTTTACTTTAAAAATATTTTATCAAAGAATCTCAAACTGTTGGGAGAAAGGCAACTCAAATAATCACAGATAAATGTTTACGTTACAAAGATCATAAAAATCCAAATAGGAAAATACTAATTTGATTTAAATAGGATAATTTAAAAATATAAATAGGGTACTAGTTTGATTTAATATTAAAATGAAACAGTGCTGCAGTCCTTATTAACTAGAGAACATATTCTCCAAAGTTATCATGTTTCTTCTTCCTTCAGCTGATTAATAATAACAAAATACTATTATGGCTCTTATTTGACAAAAGAACAGAATAATGCATAATAACCTGCATTTGTGTATGTATGTAGTGACTAATGAGATTATCATGAACATGACACAAATATTCATTTAGAACATGCTGAAACCAAGTGCTACTGAAATAAGAGTTTTCCATCTACCTATAGGAATATATATTTCACTTACATGTCCTTATTTACTTAGTTTTTATTTTTATTTCCTGGTCATAAGTATAATCTTTTATTTCAAGTAAGTTTTCATCTTATAGCTGGTATAGCAGTTGTGGGGCTGTGGCCATGGAGCTGGGTGTGGGCAGGCACACAGTTCTTCACAGGGTAATTCACCATAGCCTCATCACAGGTTTTCTGTGTATAAATAAATGTAAGTGTAACTGATGAATGTTTCTGATGTTGAAGAGAGGACTCTGCATTCTCTAACACTGGTTTCCTGAGGGATTGTATACCACAAGGGTGTACAAGATGATCCATTGGCATTTAGGAAGAAATACATCTATTATATTTTTTTTACTGAATAAAAAAAAATTTTTTTTCTAATCTGGAAAAACTAACAGAGGCCTTCAGACACTTCGCACATCACCTGATCTCAAGTTTTCTGCAAAAAGTAAAGGCCTTCCCTTGTGGAAAGACCTGTAGCTAGACATGTCTTCACTTACGGGTTTGCTCTGACATACATTATAAGGAAGATTATGAGTGCCATTTATATCATATAGTCTTAAATACATTGATCCTCACCAAATTGCCAAGTGATTTTAAAAGATTCCTCCATAGAAACTGCAAACTGAAGGAAATATTAATTATGCAGGTACAAGTAAACAAGAAGAAAATGCCAGAGTTGCTGGTCTTCTAGCATAAATTCTCTTTGGATTTCAGAAGTCAAAAAGTTTGAAGTTTTAAAAAAGTCTATTGGGGTCAGGTTTAATAATTGGTATTAACAATCAACCTGTCTTTTGGTGTATGTTTTTAAAATATTAGTGATGGTATGAGGTCATTCTAATTAGGAAGACATTTAAAAATATTTTCCATCACATGAAGACAAGTGGCCTCAGGGTTTTTTGTTGTTGTTGTTTTTTCCCTTTTTTTTAAAATTAATATGTAATGTCAACCTTGTATTTAGTAGAGTCTTACTTTAATGATAAATATTATTTCAGGGATTATTTGTGAAAACATGTTCTGACAATAGTATATAGTTTGTAAATAAATATACAAATGTTAGACCACATGCCCAAAAATGTTTCACCAATGGATTGCAGAATAAAAAATATTTGAAGTTCATAGTTTTTAAAAATTGGGATCTTTAAATTATGGGTTTTTAAAAAATTGTTGTCTTTAAATCACTCAAAAGTTATGCTTGCACCTTTCATCTTTTTCTCCAAATGCTTTAGAATACCCATTTTCTCTTTAATATTCCCCTTAAGAGTTACCATTATGGAAATTGTTATGAAGATTCAGACATCTGAATGTAGTATGTGACTTCTGATCAAACTGATGTTCATTCTACATTCATGCACATCTTGAACACAAAATACTTTTTCTGAAAATTTTAAATACTTCAGAATAAACTGTGCAAATCATGATCCTTTGGTATACTGGAGTCCTTCATTCTTTCAGATAACACCAGAATACCTTTTGAGTGTGAACCATCACGCCAAACACTGAAGACATAGTAGGCATAGGAACATCTGCATTCTGTACTGATGTTTACTTTGTTGGTCCAGGAAATAACTGTTTTCTTCTGGCTTTGGTATTAGGTCAAAATACATTGAAGTTATTATATATCCAGATTTGAGAACCCTTTATACTATTAGAGCTCAGGAAAGGTAAAAATATATGTGAACATTTACCTCTGAAAATCTAAACATTAATAAGAATTTTGTGAGAATTACTCTTAAGCTTAAACATTTCATGATATATTTATATATACAAAGGGATGCAATAACGAATATTAATATACACGATTAAAAAGAAGATATAACAAAATGTCTATTAACCTGCCATTACAACCCAAGAACTAGTGTATGACCAACAACTTGATGTGCTCATCCTCTTCCCGATTCCCCTGCCTTTCCCATAAAGGCAGATATTTTCATGAATTTTGTATTACTCTTGGCTGTTTTTTATTTCTTTTTTAAATCAGTATTTTTTGCCACATATATACGGAAACTATATAATTTTTGTTGTCAGCTTTTAGATATATTGTATTTCAAGTTGATATCTTTATGAAGTCTTTGGCAACTGGATGTTTTCATCCAATATATTTCTGACGTTCTATGTGTAATCTTCTATGAGTGATATATTCATTTGCACTGCTTTATTGAAATTCATTATATTTTAAAAGAATACCATAATTTTTCCACTCTCCCATCAATGGTTGTTTCGTTTTGGTCTTTGTATTTTACTCTTAGCAATGCTGCCCTGAATATTCCTGTATTTGTCTCCTGCTGCACATAAGCAAACATTTTCTGGGGCAGTAGTGCCGTGCATCAGAATCTCCAGGAGGGCATGATAAAACATATTGCCAGACTCCATCCCCTGAAGATATGGGGTTGGGTTAAGTATTTGTTTCATCAGATCTTCAGAAATTTATAACATTACAGGTGTCCAGATCCTGCCTCTTAGAACCACTACTCTAATGCTATAGTGTATATGTGAAGTTGTAATTACCAGGTATTGAGGTATGCAAATGTTCAGTTTTAAAAAAAAATACCAAATTGTTTTTCAATCATTGTGGTCATTTATATTCCCATCAGTAATGCATACATTCTACCATGGATTCACATCCACTCCAACACTTGGTATTATCAGAATTTTTATTTTATTTTTCTTTTGGGAGGTACTGGGGATTGGGTACTGGGGGGTGGGGCACTCAACCACTGAGCCACATCCCCAGCTCTATTTTGTATTTTATTTAGAGACGGTCTCACTGAGTTGCTTAGCGCCTTGTCATTGCTGTGGCTGGCTTTGAACTCATGATCCACCTGTCTCAGCCTCCCAAGCCACTGAAATTACAGGGGTGTGCTACCGTGCCTGGCACTAGAATTTTCAATTTTAATATTCCCCTTCTTGATCTTAGAGTTAGATATGTCATCATTTTAGAACAAAATCATTTTGTTTTTTAACTGCAAAAAGTGTAGTTAGAGTAAATTGAGTTCTGCATTTTAGTTTTGAATTATAATTGGTGCTTTGGTTGAGAATCATGCATGAATTTAATTAATTGTGTATTATGTATATTACATTTTGGGGTATAAGAAAAAAACTTTAAACATGTGCAGGTTTTAATTTTTAAATGTTGCATTTGAAAGTGGTTTTTTGTTTTTTGTGGTGCTGATGATTGAACCCAAGGCTTTGTGCATGAGAGGCAAGCACTCTACCAATTGAGCTATGTCCCTAGCCCTGAAAGTGGTTTTTAAAGGAAAATTAAAACTAGCCAGGGCAGCTAGTCATGGTGTACCATTTACTTTCCCAACTGATAGATAACTTTCACTTGTCATGGGATCTGAAATTTAGAAAGGATTAAGTCTAAATAGTAGAGTAATATGGTCATCATAAAGTTGAATTAACATACTTCTCAATTTACTCTATTCCACAAGAATGATTCTTAGTGTCTAAAGTATTTAAGGAGCCAGTCGGTGACATGGTTCATGATGAGGAATATTATACTCTGGAAGCAAATAATCTTTATAAGCAAGATCATTTTTTTGAGTGCTTGGCCTCTCTTTGGCTTAGTATGAATACTAAAATAAGATAAGTACAAATTGAACATTCCTATCTAAAATTTGAAACATTTCAGATTTCACATTTTCAGATTAGTGAAACCTTAAAAATCTATGCAAATATTCCAAAATTCAAATAAATAGATAAATAAAACATTTTTAAAAAATAAAAAATCTAAACCACTTCTGGTCTCAGGCATTTTGGATAAGGGATATTCAGCCTATATATATCTGTTAGCAGTTACATCCTTGATATACAAGATTTCCATTGCTTTTTCCTAACACAGTTATTATATAAAGAAATGTACATGTTACCGCTCCGTTTGATCTCTAGTAACTTAAAAACCCCATTCTTGTGTATCACTTTTGTATGTTGATATATGTTTAAAAATCCAATTACCTGTTAATTTTAGTAATATTCTTAATATTTAATATTGTTGGTATTACAATGTACTTCCTTTTTATTTAGAATGTATGCACATTACCATTGATTCAAATCCACTCCAACACTTGGCATTATCAGAATTTTCAATTTTTAATACTTCCGTTCTTGATCTTAGATATGTCATCTAACTCTGGTGTCAGTATGCATGAATGATTCTAGTTGAAAAACAAATCCCAAGTATAGACTTCCAAGTGAAAAACAAGTACAGTTAGACCAAGTTATGGAAAGTTTTACAATTTATGGAACTGTAAGGTTCTTCATATTTATTTTGTTTCCTCTAATTGACAACCCTTTGGTTATTCCACTTAAAAGAAGTTGTCAACTGCCAGACTGTCAACTACTAAAATCATCTTATTTGTAAAACTAGTGTCTAGAGCATTGGAGACATTAAAATAAAATGTTTTCCCCTTTCGTATCAGTAATACAGGTTCATTGTAACAAATTTGGAGAAAAAAAATCTCACCAAAATTTGTTTATTCATAGATCCCCACCTTTAATAGTTGTAAGAATATTACTCTAAAATTGCACTAACATTGTATGCTTTGTTTTGCAACTTAATGCCACTAAAGAAAAATAACTGACACATTAAAAAAAGGTGTGTTCTAGTTCAACACTTTGATAGTAATGGAATTTCACTCAACATTCAAGAAACACTTGTCAGAGACCTACCTTAAATCAAGTAATGTAACATTTGACTAAACCTGTTCTTGGATTTAAACTGGCAGCACTTATTTTGATTCCAGAGATTAGAGTTGCTCTGGGAATGTATTCAACTACTTTACCTGGTAACATTTGGTTACCTGTATTCACAAAATTAATAGCAACTTTTTACAAATTTAAACTACTTCATTGAAACTTTATATATAAAGTCAGAAAATAATTGGTAAAATAATTATGTTTAATTCTGTTTTCGAATTGATTATGTGATAAAAGTTGAACTCAGTTCTTACCTTGACTCCTTAACAGTTTTCCAACTTGCAAGGGAATACCTATGGAGCTTTTGATTAGCTTGAGACTAGTCCTTATCAAACAATATATGTGGGTTTTTCTATCACAGAGTCAGATTTGACATTATGGGGAAGAAACAAAAGATAGCAACACTCCTCTCCTCAATTTGTTACTGTCAGTTGCTATTTCATGAGAAAAACCTAATAGAATTAAAATAGATGTTACTTTGTTCTTTTTTTCTAGTCTTTAGCACTGTCCAATAGAACTTCTGTGATGGAAGTATTTCATACTGTCATGCTTAACATGGTGACAGTAGCCATTGTGGTAGTAGTAAAGCACTTGAAATATGCTTAGGAAGGAATGAACTGCATTTTTAGATTTTAATTCACCTTAATGAATCAACATTTTAATATTCCTGTGTAGCCTAAGGCTTTTGCATTAAAAAGTGCAGCATTAGAATGTAGCAAATGGCCTTTATTTTTTATTAGAATCAGATCACAGGAAGCTCACATGGACAACAATTTAATTTAATTAGAAAAATAAGTCAAAATCTTAAGCTCTAATACTTAAGTACAGATGTTTAATATAGACAGGTGCATTAATCTTGGATCCATTTATAGTGTGACCAATAGAAGCAAAGAAAATTCTGAGAGAGGAAGTTAACATTAGGGCAAGGAGGGAATATCAGGCAAAAGAAAGCTATGTAGAAATATATAAAATGCAGAGGTAAATAAGAGGAAGAAGAGAAGATTTAGAAAATTCTAGCAACCACGACCAGAATGTTGGATGTTGGAGAGGAGCCCCCTCCCCTCCCCTAATAATATCTTGATATAAAATCATTGTGCATCTGCTTTGGCAACCTCTTACTTTGTTCTTTCTCTTCACGTTCTTTGCCTTAGCACAACCAGATTTGCTGTACATAATGCCATATGTACTATATTGTCTTCCTTTTCTCCCCAGAATATGCAATAATAGGCTCTGTTGCAGAGGAGAATGATGATACAAAATTAGGGGACATTTTATTTAGGCTTCAGTTATTTATGACATGCCTTCTGTGTGTAAGATACTCTACCAAGGGCTTTACATTATATTTTCCATCATGGTAACGTATAAGAGTTTTCCATGTTAAACATTTTTAAGTATATAATTAATTAGTGTTGAGTAAGTAACATTCACAGTGTCTGTGACCATCACTGTTTATTTCCAGAACTTTTCATTATCCCAAGCAGAAATTAGGCATATCAATAATTCTCCATTCCCATTTCTGCTGTGGTAACTTCTAGTCTACTTTTTGTTCCTGTGATTTTGCCAGTTGTACCTTTATATAAGTGGCATCATATTTGTCCTTTTATGTATCTGGCCTATTTCATCTAGCATAATGTTTTCAGGCCTCATTCTTGCTGTGGCACACATCAGAATTTCATTCCCTTTTAGCTGAATAATATTCCATTGTATGTATTATATACCACATTTTGGTTATTCTGTCATCTATGGACACTTGGGTTGTGCATTGTTTTTTATAGTCGGCCTCATTTCCTCGCGATTGTGCTTGCCTTCAGCCCTTTCCCAAGTACCCCTCCTCGTAGCTCTCTTCCAGCCCACATCCAGGTCCAACAGAAAAGAGCTGGAATCTGAGTGCTCTGCTTTTGCAAGATTGCACGCTGCTGTGTTAGGGAGCACCTCCCTCCATGCCTTGCTATCCATTTATTTAACTAAACTTGTCTGCTCCAGTCCCTGGTGGGCAGGAACATCATGGGTCCTCATTTCATGTGGCATTTTTACATTTGTATATGTTCATGGAAAGCCAGTCAGGTGCTTGTGTTCTGTGTGCAGCACCTCACCTGCTTTTCATTCCTAACTTCAGAGGTCCTTGTCTGGTAACACTACAGCCATGTGGCTCAGTGATTAGGAACCCAGGTTTACAATGGTGACCAGAGCACAGAATTCATTTACATGAAGGGATTCCCAGGCCCCTGCTTAAGCAGTGGCAGCTGTCTTGTTTAAAGACAGTGGTTGTCACCCAGCTGTTGTATTCAGAATGTTAGATGCTACAATGTGGCTTTTACAAAGCAATGAATATAAATAGTTATTGAAGAGCTGAAAAGTGGGAAATTGTTACCTTTCCTATGATAATTGATATATTAAAAGACATAATAAACTATTAAGTTATTCCTACTCTAAAAATGAATCATTCCTATAAAAAGGAATAATATCAGAACACGAAAGACTTCAGGTGCATAGTCACAGGCACAGAGATCTCGGCCACTTTGCTAAGCCCTTATATTCTTGAGCTCACTTCAGTTTCAACTTTCTGAGATGTTACTGTTTTTTTCATTATCAGTTAAAGCAACAGAAATATAGAGTTTGTCTCAAGGTGACAGACAATGTCAGAATTCGGATTTAAGCACAATTCTACCTTTGGAACTGGAACAGCACTGTATTTAAGACTATAGATTGTTTTTGGTCAGTGGTGATTCTGTATTCTCTAATTTTGGTTTTCTACAGTGTGAGGCACTGAGTAAATTCATGAGTCATAAAAGAGAAAGGGACGCTATTAAGAACCCCTTGAAATCTCCTTTTATATGATAATCTGATATTTTTAGTCCTATTTATAGTGTGATGGTTTGTAATTTGTGGGTGATGAAATTAATTGTATAAGTTGTTCAAATTAATCTGGTGTGTTTACAGGTGGTTGCTGTATATGGAACTTTATCTGATTTGCTTTCTGTGGCCAGCAGTAAACTCGGCATAAAAGCCACCAGTGTGTATAATGGGAAAGGTGGACTGATTGATGATATTGCTTTGATCAGGTAACCTACACCTTTTAATAATCTGTCAACACGGGCCCTCAGCTTCTTGGTGCTGTGCTGTTTCCCTTAAGCTGTATTTTCATCACTACAGGATTTGGTGATGAAGACAGGATTTGGCAAGTGATTGTCTAGAATTGACTCTTTAGTATATTTCAGCATGTTGATAGTCTTTCTGCATAGTTCATATATGAGTATGAGGATGTCTTCTTTGTGGTACTTGAGATAAAACCCAATAAGACATGCAGTTTTTAGTTTTAAAAATCAAATTGATCTCTTTTATATGCAACTGCTTATTGCTAAATTTATTTCCTAAGAATGCTTTGAATTTTATAAATATCACAGACCTAATTTTATAACACTTGCTAAATGTAATAGAATTCTAGGTAGAGATAGCATCAGAGGCCCACAACAGTAGTACTTTTCTGGCTTGTTTTTTATTTTTTAAATATCCCAAGCAAATCCTCTCTTAAAAATAAGTGTAAAGTTCATTGCATTCCTTCTTCAAAAGGTCAGTGAATTTTGGGGCAGGAAGAGATTTAACCAAACAAACAAAAGTAAAAAGAACACAAGTACTGAATATGCCGGTTATGTTGTAATTGACTTGCCTGAATTATCCCATTTAGTTTGCAAAGGATAAGGATTTCTTTTTTTAATTTATGGTGTGGAGATAATGATGTTCTAAATTATAGTTGTATATAAAGTTAATCCAGGCCAGAATGACCTTTCAATGTAGTGTACTGCCTTTAAAAATCAATCAGTTCTAGTTCCTTCATTTAATAACAAGGAAACTTTAAGCTTCTGCTTTATCCAGGGCGTAGAGTTTCATAGTTGATTTTTGTTAACAAAAACAAACTTTCACATTAATCTAAAAAAAATTAACTGACATCATGCACAAGTAGTATATTATAAACTATAATATACAAGCACATTGGGAGAATTTTTTCGTTTTTCAACATCTCTCTCCCAGCCTATCTTTCATTTCAGTAGAAAATTGAGGAACATCATTGAATGGTCTATATATCAATCTAATTTTCAAACACAAATTCTGATTCTAAGAAAAAAACCAATGTGTTCTATAATGTCCTGTAATGTCTGTAATTCAAAGAATATTACTAAAGCCTTCAGAGCTAGCTGTTTACTGGTTTCTGGTTCATAGTAGGGTCTCTGATCATTTATTTATACTAATGGTGGGATGGATGGCAGGAGAGGAGGATATACACTGATAGTCTACAGTTTTAGGTTATATGTGATCATTTGTGTTTGGGTGTGTAGAGGGTGAGTGGTTATAGCAGTGACTTCAAATGTATTTTTCCTGGATTTAATATGAAAATGTATTTTTATTTGCAAAGCACACAGCAGCTAATAATGATTTGGGAGATAATTCCAATAATTTATTTAGGGGTAAAGAATTAAAATTAGAAGAAATTGACTATGACTTTAATCATATCCTTTGAGCATAATAGCACATTCTTCAGTTAATAAGAAAGCCAGATTCACAACTTGTGTAATGGGATTAGTTTTGTTTTGTTTTTTTTTTTTTCTATTTCAAAAAACTTCCATGAACAGGATCTCATTTGAATTTAAAACCAGAGACACTTAAGTTAGGGAGTTAACCAAAGCACTCAAAACTTAGCTTTTTCTCAGGGTAGATTGATAGCAAAACCTGTCTTTGATAGAATTTCAAGGAATAGTTCCTTAGTCAACAGATAATTAATGTTATTTCTAGATTTTGATGGTAGCTTTTTAAATTTTGATTTCCCCAGGGATGATGATGTTTTGTTTGTGTGTGAAGGAGAGCCATTTATTGGTAAGTGATTTCCTTAAAAGCCAATTTTGTCTGCCAAAATAAAAATAGATGAAATGGTAAATATTTTACCAAGAACTGTAAAGCTTAAAATTAAGAAGAATGTTGTGGCTATACTAAGATCTTCACATTCTTTGATTCCGCTTTTGGGTATATAATATATATTAATGTTCATCTTTATGATCATATTTTAGTATGGATACTTAATCATTTACCTGCCTTTAAAGTGCCCTGGACTTGTACATATTTGATAACGGTGACATAGTAGGGTAATTTTGATTTTAGAAATTACAAGTATTTTAAGATTTTCTTTTTCATTGTAGTTGTCAAAATTTCTCTGGAGTGTTGTGTCACATCTTTGTCAGCATATATTGCTTGACAGTCCTTCACTACTGATTAAATTAAATCAGTCAAAATGTGACATAAGCCACACAGAGGCACATACACCTACCTACCTTTTGATTTGGAAGACAGTATACACAGATGAAGACCTCAAAAAGCCTAAAGCTTAAGTAAAGTAAATATTCCTTAATGAGTACTTTATTTAATACCCTGAGTGCTTCTGAATTTGAAAGTCAGATGTAAAATCATATCAGAGTTTATCAAATTATAAACTTCAAGCTTCTATAGTTTCTTTTGTGTCATTTTATCTTAGTGAAGCTATTGAAGAATCCTTGCTTTACATCTTTATTTGAATACCTTAAATATATTACTCAGTTTCATTCTGGCACAAAGTTTTGGCATCAAAAAAACCAATCTTCCTTAAGTAATTATTTTTACTAGATCACCAGAGGATTTTTCCTTCTTTACAGTATTTTAATAGAATATTTCATGGCCTTCTGGGTGGTTCTGGGTTGATTTTTCTCAGGTATGCAGTCCTTTTAATATGTGGTGTCAAGTGTGTATAGTTTTAATCTGAGAAAAGTGTTCTTGAACTTTATGCATTTTGTCTTCTTGCTTTGATTTTCTTCTTTCAGAACTTTTTTGTATGTACATTGGATCTTCTATACTTGTCTTTTGTATCTGAAGCTTTCTGTTATAAATCCTTCCACCTCTTTCTTTCTTTTTTTTTTTTTATTTTAAATTTTTTTTTATTTTTTGTTATTTTCTACATCATCTCTAGATCCTCAGACAGATTCTAAGCCACCTGAAGGATTATTAGGATCTCACACAGACTGGCTAACATTAAATGTTGGAGGGCGGTACTTTACAACTACACGGTAGGTGGGGTCTATGTGTGGGGTGTGTGTGTGTGTGTGTGTGTGTGTGTGTGTGTGTTGCGCGCGCACATTTGCGTGAAAGGGACTGAATGTACTGTTTGTTTTTTCCTTCAATTTGCTGATTCCCTTAAAAGATATTCTAATTTGATATAGAATCTTTTTCTAGAACTTATTTTGAAGAAAAAAGTAGAACATAGTACATATATCATTCCAGAGAAAGCATTAAAAGCATGATTTCAGTGTTTTAGAACATGCTTTTTAGATATCAGTGATACACAGGCAATGCAAATTAAAACTGATAGCATTAAAATCTGTAGGACTACAACTACTTATATTGAAGAGATCAGAAAAATCTAAGTGTAGAACATCTAGAATATTGTGATATAATGTCTTGCTAGAAGATTAGATAGCATGTAAATTGAAAGAAACTAAAACCATATTTAAATCAGAGGAAGTACCAGATTGGAAGGGAGTTTAATAAATGGCAACTTATTGCACGTTTTTGTTTCCCAGCATTACTCCTCCCAGGTTATAGCATGCATCTTTTTGAGAGAACAGCTGAAATCAAGTATGCTCTTGACTTAAATATGTTTGTTTATAAAGACACATGGAGAAATCAATTTTTTTCCCTGACTTCTTAGGAGCACTTTAGTGAATAAAGAACCTGACAGTATGCTGGCCCACATGTTCAAGGACAAAGGTGAGTATAACACATTGTTTTCACATTTTGTGTGTTCTATTTGTATGTGTTACCTTACAACTGCTGGCCTTCTGTACTTTTAGTGGTATCAACAATTTTCATTGGAGTAAAACTTGCTGGTATATTATATAATTTTTCTTCCATGAATTTTAACTTTATTGTTTGTTTATGGGGGGCTTTCTTCATTATAATGTTAACACAGGTGTCTGGGGAAATAAGCAAGATCATAGAGGAGCTTTCTTAATCGACCGAAGTCCTGAGTACTTTGAACCCATTTTGAACTACTTGCGTCATGGACAGCTTATTGTAAATGATGGCATTAACTTATTGGGTGAGTAGTCAGCATAATTCCTCACATTCTTTAAAATTGAGATTTTTATTTTGTTTTCCATTAGTAATGTCTATTTTCATAGAGTGAAATATATCTTTTCTACATTTTCAACTGTAAGTTTTCACATATATGAATATTTATAGTTACAGAAATAGGTACTGACATAGGTAGTCTTTCAGGTCTGTAGTGTTTGTTTATATAGGTATATCTAATCCATATATTTTAATTTTAAATTCTAAAATTAACTTGAGGGAAAGTCTGAGTCCCTTTTGAAAAATGGGATTAAAATTCTTTCAGCCTTTCTACATTACAAAAATTTTGTGAAGGTTCATGAAAATGATATAGACAATGTATTTTGTTGATCTTATAATAATCACTACTTTTAAAGTAAAGTAGTGATTGCATATTTGAAAGCTTATAGGCCTTTCTATCAATAAGTTTTATGTTACTGTAACAACATACCTGATGCAGATAACCTAGGAAAAGTTAATTTAGCTCAAAGTTTTAGAGGTTCAACATCTAAGATCAGGTGGGCCACATTGCTTTGTCCTCTGGTAAGGGTGGCAGTTGGTGGTACATCCTCCTGAAACATATGTAGGAGCAAATAGTCACATCTCAAACCTAGCAGAGAGAGAGAGAGAGACTGGAGTGGTTTCCCACAATCCCGCAATCCCCTTTGAGGACCTGCCTCCAGTGACCTAAGGCTCTCTCATTAGGCTCTCTCATAAAGGTCCACAGTTACTCCAATTCTGCCACCTTAGGAACAAGCCTTTACATACAGACTTTTAGGGTCATCACCATCTAAATCATAGCACCCTCCAGTGACTGAATTTGGCCTGATGTTAGTACTTAGGAAGTGTGGCGGTTTAGCTTTAGCAAATTTTTACCATATATGAATATGGACTTAGGGTGCCAGAGCCTTGATATTTTTTTAAAGAAACACTGGAATAAAATCTAAAATTTTATGTCAAATTATCTGATTTTTGAAATGCTACATGCTCAATGCATCAGAATCAGCTTGAGGACTGCTGGTTTATAATCTCTGTAGTGTAATTCCAAACACTCAGTGACTTTCAATGTTTCTATATTAAACTTTATAATATTCACTTTAAAATGAACCCATTGCAACAAAATAATATATTGGACACTCTCAGGGAGGTCCATAATTGTTCTGAAGTAAATTGTTCTTGCTTAAAAAATTTTTTTTTAACTATCGGGTAGGATGGTACACATCTATAATCCCAGCAATTTGGGAGGCTGAATTAGGAAGATTGCAAGTTCAAAGCCAGCCTCAGCAACTTAGACACTGTCTCAAAACGAAAAGGTCCGTGGATATAGTTCAGTGGTAGAGCCCCTCTGGTTCAATCCCTAGTACCAAAAAAATAATAAAAATAAATTACCAAATGTTGCTTTAAATGTTTTCCAACTTGATTTTTTGTTATTGTTGTTATATTCATTCTGCATACATCATTATAAACATAGCCAATGATCCATATTATATAAGTCTTTTTCTTTTTGATACCTGCATCATTCTGCAGCTTTTCTCTCCGATGGCTACTTCCCTGGGTTCATTTTAAACATAACTTCAGCTTTCCTGTGAGCTCTTATTCCTCTCATTTTAATTTTTCCCTTATATTATTGATTGATAGCATTTTGTATCCTCTCAGATTAGAAAAATAGCATTCTATCTTAGATTTCTACAATCTATTACCAAGATTTGCTTGTTTTTCCTTTCTCGTGTTTTCCAACTATTTCTCATATTTATTTATTTGTCCAGCAATCAGCTTTCTACTAGATTCATTTTATAAAATGTTGTTTTTAATTAGTTTAGTTTCTCTTGAACATTGCCTACAGGTTCTCCTAAGTAAGTAAATGATTTAAAAATAATCTGTAGTAATTTTCTTGAAACCAAAAGGTAGTGAGGTGGGCTGGGGTCATAGCTCAGTGGTAGAGCATTCACCTAGCACGGGTAAGGCACTGGGTTCCATCCTCAAATCCACATAAAGGTAAATAAATAAAGGTATTGTGTCCATCTACAACTTAAAAAAAAAAAAATGTAGTGAGAGGCAGAGTTGGAATTCAAATCCAAGTTTAATTGGTACTAACAGAAAATATACTGAATATCACTCCCTTTTCTCAAGGCTACATGTATAGGTTTTATATTTATAAGGCGTTTCTGGAAGTTTTCATGAGTAATTCTAAATGTCAAATTAGAAGTGCATACATACCACATTCCCTGAGAGGTTCTGATTTGCCCAGATGATCTTGGCAAACTGATAACAAGGCCCACTAGAACTTCTTTAAGGTGGGCTTCTCCCAGGGGCAAATACTCTATTTTCTTCAGGAGGAAGCTGGAGAGGGAACCGGCCTGGCATGGACAGGAGAGCAGGTGTAGGGAGTTCCCTGAGTGGTATACTGGCCATCAATGACCTTTATTTTGCAATTGGATTACTGGAGATGAAATTTGGTTTCACTAGAAAAGATCATTTTCTTCTTCCCAAGTAACTGCTTACTGTTTTCTTTACAAGTTTAGAATTGTTTGAGGGGAAGGATTATGTCTCTTACTTTCTTTGTCATTTCTGAGTCCCTAGTGGTTTTTTTAAACAAGTGGACTCAGCCAACTGACTCTCTGAGTCTTTATTTGAAAGAAAGTGAGTCCCAGATTTCCTCCTGCATACTCTGAAGAGAGACAGGAAGCATATCAAGATACCTAAAGGATGTCTGAATGGGTTCCTTTTTTTTTTTTTTTTTTAACCAAGTTAATTAAAGCAAGTGATAGGTGAAATTCCTTTTGCCATTTAGAAATATCTTTAAATTTTTTATTTTGGTGTAAAAAATTTTCTGAATTAGACTTTTTTTTTTTTTTAGTTTTTATTTTTTTAGTTGTTGATAGACCTTTACTTTTTTTATTTATATGTGATGCTGAGAATCGAATCCAGTGCCTCACACATGCTAGGTTACTGCTGAACACAGCCACAGACAGCCACAGCCCCCTCAATTATACTTTTGACTTTCATTGTGAAACTGATTTAAACTTCATTCACATTCATTTTTTGATTAAGTTAAATATATTTGTGGAAAACCTAATTAGATTCACTCCATTAAAAAGGAGTTAAGCGAACTGATCATTTTTTATTATGTTCATAATGAAATCACTAAATCAACTCTTATAGGAATAGGTAGTGTTAACATTTCTTGTTTGTGACCCACTTAAAGCAATTATCAGAAATAACTGAAATATGGAAGGCTTTGTTGTGATTTATTTTCTATTTTCTTTCACAGAAAAATCTGTATCAGAAATATTTTTCAGTATTCTATGTGTACATTCTAAACATTAGTTACTTGTCTACTATTGACTAACACTCTACTTGTTGAATTTCAGTCTCATCATGAGAATGTAACAAAGAATTCTATAAATATCAAAATGAATTGTGATCATAAAAGTCACATCCTTTGTTCTGATAGGTGTATTAGAAGAAGCCAGATTTTTTGGTATTGACTCACTGATTGAACACCTAGAAGTAGCGATAAAGGTGAGGTTCTTTTTACCATGGCTAGTATTACATTTATTGTAGGTATTGCCCAAAAGGCCCCACTAATTTTTTAATACCTGTTTCAAGAACTCCCAACCACCGGAGGATCATTCACCAATATCCCGAAAGGAATTTGTTCGATTTCTGCTAGCAACTCCAACCAAGTCAGAATTACGTTGCCAGGTAATTAAAGTAGATTTTAACATGACTTATTTGTATTATCTAGTTTGTGAATAAAATTTTACATTCTGTGGTTCATTTTTGTTTTGTTTTGCTTATTTTCCTTTATTATGCAAGAATGAAATGCAATTATGGATCATAGCCTTGATTTAATTTCAAAATGATTAGCAGAAAAGAGATGCAGTAGTTTTCTTATTGTCTAATTATGCCTTATGTAGTAGTTCTTGAGTAAACATGGAAAATGCAGCAATTTTTAACAAGTTATTGGCACAGTTGCTACGTATGGCTGGTCTGTGGCAGACACTTTGACTTTTGTGTATTGTAGCATTATAGATTTTGAAAATCACAGTGCCCATTTTTTTCTTAATAAAACTGTCTTGAATTCTTGAATTAATAAAATAATTTAGTTACAAATAATCAAGTTGAACTAAAATAACACTTACCAGCAGATACATTACTAAGAAGGATGTCCGGCACATAAAGGAAGTATAGTCAGGCCATATCCTAATTCACATATAGATAAAACTTCTTTTACAAGGAACCCATTAAGGACATATACATACTTTATGTATCCAAGTTTCATTTGTTCATGCTTTGTAATAAATTCCAAGTGACTGAACCACCAATTGCTTCTAAAAGAGTTGGTGGTTAGCTCTAGTAATTACATTCAATACAAACAGATGGCTTAAGCATTATGACAGTTTGTGCTTTTTAATTTCAGGGTTTAAACTTCAGTGGTGCTGATCTTTCTCGTTTGGACCTTCGATACATTAATTTCAAAATGGCCAACTTAAGCCGCTGCAACCTTGCACATGCAAATCTCTGCTGTGCTAATCTTGAACGAGCTGATCTTTCCGGATCAGTGCTTGATGTAAGAATCATTTTTGGTTATGAGGAAAATTAAAATTTTAGGTTACTGAGCAATCTCAAAGAACAGGAGTTCTATCTGTCTTATTGGAGCTTTTTAAATAGTAGACAGATCATTTACTATGCTGATGATAAAGCTGAAGGCTCACTCTAAAAGTGGAATGGGTTGTTTTCATAACTTTGATATCCTTTATGTACATAGATCTGAAAGGTTTAGCAAACAATAAAAATGAACTCTTAAAATTAGATCCTGATCTCAATATAGTATCCTAAATCTATCAAAACTGGTATTTTTGGCCAGATGGTGGCTCAGAGCTATAACCCCAGTAACTCGGGAGGCTGGGGTAAGGGGAGCACAAGTTCAAGGCCAGCCTCAGCAATTTACTTGGGATTGAATTCAGGGGCACTTGACCACTGAGCCACATCCCCAGCCCTGTTTTGTATTTTATTTAGAGACAGGTCTCACTGAGTTGCTGAGGCTGACTTTGAACTTGCAATCCTCCTCCTGCCTCACCCTCTCAAGCTGCTGGGACTACAGGCATGCACCAGGGCACCCTGATCTACACCCAGCTTTTGCCTTACAGTTTTTCAAATAGTTTCACATTCAGCTTCCATTTTGATAACTATAATTTGTGAAGGTCTCATGTTAACATCAACTTTGTAGATGAGCTTCCTGGCTTATCTAGTAGTTCCTAGAGTTCAGATCTAATGGCATGAACTCTTTAAGACGAATTTACAATTTAAAACTCACGTGTTTATTTTTTAACTTTTTACTCTCTGCATTGTGCATTGTGGTGTGAGCGCTGGAGCTGACAGTGTCTTGCAGCCATGGTTGGTACAGAAAGACCAGAGCAGTGACTTGTTAGTGTGTTGTTGCTAATTAATCCCTTTAATTGATGGCATTTGTATTCTGGCCTTTGAAATGAAAGTGGTAGTAGCCTCTTGAACAATCAAGAAGTTCATTTCTTGATTTCTACAGTGATAAGAGAAAATCCATACCCCTCCTAAATTTCTGCCTTCTTTGTCATACATTTAGTCATATGGTCATGCTCAAGGCTGTTGATACAAATAGGAATAGAGTGTTATAGTTCTGACTGCGTGGGTTCTTTATTTAAACCCTTTTCATGTAAAGTGAGCATGGTACTGTTTATTTGGCATGTTTCTCTTTTAAAACAATTCTTCTAAAAGAAATGTTTCTTTAAAACATCCTCAATTCTTATTGTGTTTCATTAAAAGAGTCTTCATAGTAAACAAAAATAATTGCAAATGTGTTGAATTGAGCTTCCCGCCCCCCCACCCCCTCCTAGTTTTTTCTTTTACTGTTTACACCAATGGGACTAAAATCATGAACCTTAAAAACCAGGACTTTTTTCTTTGCAGTGTGCAAATCTCCAGGGAGTCAAGATGCTTTGTTCTAATGCAGAAGGTGCATCCCTGAAACTGTGTAATTTTGAGGATCCTTCTGGTCTTAAAGCCAATTTAGAAGGTGAGATCTTATCTGTAAATATCTGTTCCAGGGTGAAAGCAGACCAGGAAGTAAAAAGCTCCAGGAAATCATTGCTAAGGGTCGAAAAGAAAAGAGTAGGGGACAGGTTTTATCTGCTGTTGTATTTGGAGAGATTGCAAAGGGTCAGTTGCTTCCTTGGTCTTAGTCATATGCAAACCAAACTTGAGGACTCAGAGATAAAGCCTGAAATAGTTAATGAGGCTTCAAGTTGGACAATTAAATATCAACATCTTAACCCTCAAGTAGAATTAAATACTCTTATATTGACTAACAGGAAGAATTTCAGTTTGCAAAACGCCAAATTTTTTTTGTCAGTTTTTAATAATTCATTATTGCTTTGTTGGGTTTGTGAATTGGGCGTGTTGTTCACTTGTATTTTTAGGAAACACATTTTTATCTTCCACGTCATGAACAATTTATGGTGGCATAAAAGTGCTAATCACCTAAGATAAGATTGATTGCTTGGGCTGGGGTTGTGCCTCAGTGGTAGAGCACTCGCCTAGCATGCATGAGGCACTGTGTTCGATCCTCAGCACCACATAAAAATTTAAAAAAATATTGTGTCCACCTGTAAGATTTATTTCTCCCCTCAGAAATACCTATGAAACATTCTTAATTCATGCTGTAAGCAAACAAGTTGCTGGCATTGAATTTTTCACATGTGTAAGCCAGTTGAGAATGACACTTGAGGTTCATTTCCAAAAGTATAAGAAGACCATCCTCATTTATCCTCTAATCATCTTGCAGTTTGTTGAAGGTAGATAATTAGACATATTTTTAAAGTTAAACTGCTCTCCAAATATGTTCACTGTAGGTGCTAATCTGAAAGGTGTAGATATGGAAGGAAGTCAAATGACAGGAATTAACCTGAGAGTTGCTACCTTAAAAAATGCAAAGTTGAAGAACTGTAACCTCAGAGGAGCTACTCTGGCAGGAACTGATTTAGAGGTAAGTTCACCAATGCCTGGTGTTTGAGTAATCTTAATTACTGAGTATCTCAGGTAAAACTTATTGAAATTATTAGGGAAGTAATTGGCTGGTAAATTGCCCAGTAACATGCTGGGGCAGTTAGAGGGATATTTTCCTTTCAATGGCTTGTTCAAACATTTCAATTCCAGAGCAAGTCCATCACCTGAGGCTTAGATCTAGTTCCAGGTGTGAAGACTCTTCTGACGTTCAGTCTCCATTTATTTCATGTCATCTTTTTCTTGGATCTTTTAAGTTCAGTAGTCTTTTATTAATCTAACTACTGTGTTTTCATTAACTTTAATTCCAAACACTTTTATAGGCCAGATTATTCTTGAATGACTTGGGAAATTTAAATGATATCCACGTTTGAAAGCAGATTCAGGAAAAGCCTATTTTATTTTTTTAACTACCTTTATTTTATTTATTATTTTTTATGTGTTACTGAGGATTGAACTCAGTGACTTACATATGCTAGGCGAGTGCTCCATCACTGAGCTGCTGCCATGGCCCAGGAAAAGCCTATTTTTAAATTGGCATCATACCCTTTTTGAATCTCAGCTAAAGATTTTAATCTTGTCCAGTTAAAAGAATTATATTCTATTTGTGACTTGCAAATGTAGCAGTAGACTTCGTGGCTGTTGATGTGTCTGCAACAGCGCTGTCTGGTCACACACTTTGCATGCGGGTGTGTTTCAGATTCATGCTGTTCAGTACAGTTGCCAAATAGCCACATAGAACTGCTGGGCACTGCAGCTATTCTCAACTGAGAAATTGATTTTCAAATTTTACTTAATTTTAACTCATTTATATTTAAATAGCCACAAGTGGCTCATGGCTATCATATTAAATAATATAGTTTTATACAAGCAAATCTGGTATAGATAGGATTGTAGAAGACAGTAGGTGAAAATTTAGCTTGCTGCTGATTTTGTAATGGATGTTTTTGCCTTGATCTTGATAGCTCTCTGAAATTGAGAGCCATTTAAACTTAAAGGCAAGAAGAACTAGCCTCAGGTTAACAATATAATCCTATTATGAGCATAGTTATTTGTTATTGTCACTTAAGGTCATAGGTTTTTTTCCTTGGTTTCAGCTATCATGTAGTCAGTATGGTTAAGCAGCAAAAGCCTTTCTCCCTCCAGCTGATTGCAAAGACTGATCCAGTTGACCATTAAGGGACAGCTGTGAACATTTGGCCTCTTAAGAGGCTCTATGTAGTCACCCTTCTCTCACCATCCCTTAGGGACTTTATTAGAATCTGTCTCATCTTTCCCTTATCTTGAGAAATTAACAAACAACTTCCAGTTGTGGTGGTTATGCCACTGTATATATCTACCTAAACTCATTGAATTATACACATATATTTGGGGTTTTAAAAAAGGCAGTTTCCTACTGTAAAAACATTAGGCTACAAAATGGAAAAATCTACTATACAGTTTAATTATTAAGTAAAAATCTCAATATTTTTTCTAAATAGTCTTCCCCCATCTCATGCCTTTCCTTATTGTTATTTTGGGATGTGGTAAAACTAGATAATAGTTATTATATTGGAATTCATTCTTGATTTTATTTACCTGCTTCCTCTTTAACCTTGATTGTACATACTTGTGGTGGTCAACTTGAGCATCACCCAGGAATAACATTGCAGATAGAAGATCTGACTTTAAGACACATGGTCAGGAGTGTTCCAGAAACTGTTTTGTTATGTAGGAATACTGTCCTAATATGCCTAGAAATCTTTGTGAAAGAAACACATAAGGCCCTAGATCTCCATAGGTGTTACATGAATCTTATTTTGTCTTACAGAACTGTGATCTGTCTGGGTGTGACCTTCAGGAAGCTAACCTCAGAGGTTCCAATGTGAAGGGGGCTATATTTGAAGAGATGTTGACACCACTACACATGTCCCAGAGTGTCAGATGAGAATCTCAGGGGCTGGAGGAAGATGTCTGAGATGAAAAATGTTCTCCTAATCATTTTCTTTCTCCACTCTCTCAGTTATCTAGAAAAAATAACACTGTAAAGGAATTTAAAAAAAAAAAAAAAAGTTTAGAGGATTATGCTTGTTCTCAGCAGTGCATAAGGGAGAAATTGAATTTTTTCCATATTCTGATTTTAACAGAAAAGCACTCATTTAATAGTTGTAGGGAAACTTAGATTATATTGCTGCCTTTTGAATGGGGTAGGGAGATATGCTTGGTCTTATGACCAGGAATATAGTATCTATTTTATTTGCTTTTAAATAGGCATGATGTGGAAATCCATCTTGGATTAAGATGCATTTGAGAAATTTAATTTATGAAAAGCACAACATATGCAACTATATTTATTGAATACCTAGATGCAGTATGGATATTTAAATTGTTAAACTTTATGAAAAGTTTGGAAAGGTTGTTCAGGTTTATGAATAGCTTTAGCAATGCCTCCCCTCTTTATGTACCTGTCACACTGTATGAATATGGTGAGGTCATACTCCCTAAGGCTCTCTTTTCAGGTTTATTTTTATAATGTTTACTTTTAGAACAAAACAATAGCTAAATTAGAGAAATAGCCTGTTGTTCCTATTGAGGCAGAGAGGAAAGATATCTTTGTACATCTTTATTATATTGAAGATTTATTGGAACTCTCCAGTTGAAGGATGAATTTGCCTACAGTTACGACTTTTGAATGAGCATTCCTCAGAAGTTCATTCTAGGCAAGTTCCACTCAACATCAGACCAGGAGGTTCTGTCTATTTATACTACTAACCTAATTTTCTCAGATACAATCAATATATAAGCATAGGATGATATTTCAAAACCAAAAAACCAAGGTTCATCTTTAATAGCCACTTAAATAAAATGTCAAATGGTTTAAATTGGGCCAGCTTAAAAATAGGTATCAAATCCAAAACTGCTGCAATTAAGAGTATAAAATACAAATAAAAAGGACAAAATAACTTTTTAGAAGGCAATATAATATAATTTCAGCTAAAATCTTACAGTGGGAAACGAGGATATTTAAACTGGCTATTTGATTAAACCATCAAAAGAAACTAATAAATAAAAATAAAGGCATTTGGATGGCCTAAGATATTAATCAGTCAGCACCTGTGGTTCTTTTACTTATATTTGCTGTTGTGTGTCTTTGGTTTTCAAATTGTAACCCAATTTTCCTGAGTCCTTTTCTTTCTGCCATAGCAGAGTCAGGGCCTTTACTTCCCTCCCAATACCCCAGTGTCCTTATATCTGCCCTAGAGCAGGGATATAAGCTGTGTCCAAATGGGTTCTGAATCCTGCTTACTCATCAATTTTAGGCAATGAATCATTAAAAACCACTTCTGTCTCCTTTGGGAGAAGGACATATTTCAGTGTTTCCATAGCTTACTCTTCTATATCTACATATGCACAGCTTTCCTTAACAGTAAAGGGCACATATGCACAGTGGGAGGAGATCAGACCTTTACAGGTGAAGGAAAGCAACTTTAGAAATGAATTATTTTCTTTGCTTTATTATTTTTACCAAGACAGATAAGTATTGTATTGAGAGATTCTATTTTCATAATCAATATGTGCCTAAATAATATTTAAATCATTTCACTCTATACTATATTTTCAATAATTATAGAATGTGTTGTTCATTCACTTAAGGGTACCTCTGTAGACAAACCTAAAACTGCAGAAGGTTCTGAAAGAAACCTGAAAAAACATGGTGTTTTCAGAAACTGCAGGCTTGGGATCTAATGTATACTGCATTAATAAATGATATAAAACAATGAAAAGGCCTTTCTTCTCTTGCTTTGGAAAATAAACACTTCTGTTTACCTTTTCTTCAATATGGGTTGACAACCAGCCCTGAAGGTCTAGATGAAAAAGAAAATACAACATAATACTTGCTATTGGGTAGTCTCTTTGAAAGTGCCATTAAATTCATTTTTTATGATCTGCCCTTCAAAATCCACCATGCTAACAATGTGGGAAAAAACTATTAGTTCTGAACAAAAGAAAAAACTGTCTTCCAGTAACTTATTCAGGTTGTGTTTACTCAACAAAACTAACTGGTAATGTTCACCAGTTAAACAGTATGCCCCCAAACATTTTTGCCTGACAAGAAGAGCATTCCAAAGAGGAAGAAAGTTTCAGAATAGTAAAACTTCCATTAGCTTCATTGATGAAACATATCTGTACATAGCTAAAAATGCAGTGTTGGGGGAGAGTTAGGGTCAGGTTTTAAACTTAAATTGGTTAGACTCTCTATATTGATAAAATCAGTTCTCTATACTTACATTAGCTACATTGATAAAATTCAATTCTCTATGGTTAGATTAGCTAATTAAATTCAGTGCTCTCTCTGAGTAATTGTCTAAAGCAATACGTGTTATGCTCTGATGTAGTCCAGTTCCTTCAACTAGTTTCAAGGAAATTTTAATAGGAAGCGTCAAGTTATTCTTATGAAGGTTTCCATTACAAATCAGTATATAACTTTTCTCTAGTTATTTTATGAACCTGTTGTTTATACTGTAAATCTGTCCTCAGGTCAATTCTAATGGTCTTTAATATGTGAAAAAAAAACTAGAATTTTATTAAATCCCCAAGCAGGATAATATATTTAAAATTAAATGTTCACCAGTACAAGAAAAACTGGTTACATTATTTCAGTAGAAAACAGTATGTCTGAGGATTAGTTCTCTGCCAGCCTTTCACAAGTGGATTAGACAGCCAGAGTTACCCTTGAGTTCTTCCTGCTGAGATTTTACATTAGGGCAGAGGAGGTTTTTTCCCCATCTGTCATTCAGCAAGATTATGAAATTATAATAGTTTTGAGGTGTTTTCATGTTGAAAATGAAGCAGTTTTCCCTCTAAAGCCATTCTTTCAAATTTAGGACAGAACTATGACAACTATAAATTCCATATTTAATATTTAACCTAATTTATTAAACTCCACTCCTTGATCAGCTGACCTAATCATGGAATTGTGAAAAGATTCAAACTATCACTAAAACATCAGAAACTCATTGATTTGTGGTTTGATAGACTGCTTGGTGCTGCAGAAAGTAAGACAAGACAAATTTGGCTTTTGCCCTTGAGATCTGTTGGATCTAAGGCAAGACTGATGCAGACTTAAAAGACATGCAGCACTGAATAGCGTCATAGATCATGTTGCTGTGCTCATCTTAAACATCGCAAAGCATATTTCCAAAAATTTCATACCAACTGGTAGAAATAACCCACGAGAAACCCAGTGATGCTCAGAGGTGAGTGCTTCACCTGACAACAGGGCTCAGAAGTCTTTACTTCCATCCCCTTAGTCCTAACCAAAGGCCATGCTTTTTGCTTCAGTGACACAGAAGCATGTCTCAGCAAATAGGAAATCAGCTGCACGATTTAAACCGGCATTGTTCAAACATAACCTTTCTCCTTATCTTTAATATAGTGGGTCAAAATTCCACTCTTCCTATTAGAATGGTGTGTTAGGATATCTAAATGAAATTATGAAGATAAGAATCAAGTCCTGATGTTTTGTTTTAAAATTTCTGTTTGCAGTTATACTTCAAAGTTGATCCCCTTCTCCACCATTGGGTCCACAGAAGCAACTGGGCAAGCCAAGCAGTATACTGGGCAAAACACCATTTCTCTTCACTTGAAATCCTTACCAATGAAATTATTCCATAGGACACTGGGCATGGTTTTAGCATCCTACCCAAAGAGCTGCCAATCCCAGTTCTAAAATTCACAAATAACTATTTTTTTTAACTCTCTCATGCCTTAGATAATTTAACAAGCTTTACAGCCTATTGTACCTTAAGCTTAATTCTATATCAGATAAAACATCTTTGAAGTAAAAATAGAGAAAGCATTAGGCCTAATCTGGTTAAAAGGTTCTGGCTTTCATTGATTGATTGATTCCATTCATTCAAACCTATACTTAGTGCTGCCTAGAAGCCAAGGGGTCATTCATTAAAGAGATGATTAAATGAGAGAATTCTTGACTATCATGAGTTGTAGACCAGAGGTAAATTAGGGGAAGGCAATCATGTATTTAAATGAATGTAATAAAGAATAATAGTTCTATTTCTTTTTTTTAAGTGCTTATCTGAATAACATACCTAAGGTCATACGTGCCACTTGGGTGAAAATTTGTATGATGTAGCCCCACAGTGGCACGTGTCTGTAATCCTAGCACTCAGGAGGCTGAGGAGGAAGGATTATTTGAGCTCAGGAGTTTGAGACCAGCCTAAACTGAAAGACCTAAGTAATCTCCACTCTCAATCCCGCCACCCTGCTACCCAACCCTGACTTGGAGGCTCCCTTGCATGACTGTGCACAGATCCTAGGGCAGGTCCATGGCATCAGAGAAGACCTCAAGGATCAGCCTTTGCCAGCTTATCTGGTTTACAGATGGGAGCAGCTTCATTCAACAAGGTCAGAGGTATGTGGTAACAGAGACTGAAGTGGTATGGGCTCAGCCCCTCCCAAGGGGAACATCAGCCCAGAGAGCTGAACTGATAGCCTTGACTCAAGCACTAATGCTGGGAAAAGACAAAAAGCTGACTGTTTATAGTGATAGCCAGTATGCTTTTGCCACGGCCCACATACATGGCGCCATCTATAAGGAAAGAGGGCTACTGACAGCCGAGGGAAAGACTATAAAAAATAAAGAAGAGATATTGGCCCTCATTACCGCCCTATGGTTGCCTAAGAAATTGGCCATTGTCCACTGTCCAGGACATCAGAAACCTAAGGACATGGTGTCTAGAGGGAACAATCTGGCTGATAGAACTGCTCAGGGAATAGCTATGCAAAGAGAGACTGTGATGATAGCCAACCTGCCTGACCCGGGCCCTGAAGCCTACCAGAAATGCCACTATATTCCAAGGAGGATTTAGAATGGATTAAAGAACTGCCTATGACTCAGTGCCTTAATGGTTGGTGGCAAATATGGATATAAGTACCTTCTAGTTTTTATAGATACCCTTTCAGGATGGGTAGAAGCATTTCCAACCAAGCATGAGACAGCTCAAGTAGTGTAAGGGTAAAAGAAATTGAAGTTAAAATGTAAAAGACCGGGCATTGTAAAGTTCCTAAGCTGCAAGGCCTGAGTTAAAAAGTGAAGTACTAGGTATTGTTAAGTTCCTCTGCTACACCCAGAACCTGAAATTCCTGAGGCAGTTAAGATAACGTCCTACTGGCCATTTAGTTGATTAATAGCCTAGGGCCCTGTGCAGCTTGTCACGTAGGCATACAGGGCCCGAACCAATCAGTTTGAAAGTGTACCCCGCTTAGGAGTGACCAATCACACCCCCCCCACACCCGACCTGTTCCCACCAATGAATGTACTAATCAAGTTTAAGAATTGTTGTTTGATGATGATTTGTCCTGATGCAAAGCCTCCGCCCTCTCCAAAAAGTGTACTTAAACAGTGCTCAGCCCCAGCTGGGGGCTCTGGGCTGCTCTCCCTTCTTGAGTGAGCACGGAGCCCCAGCGCGCTGGAATGGATCTCCAATAAATCCCCTTCTGCAATTGCATGAGTCAGTCTCTTGGTGGTCTCTTCCTCCAACGCTTCGCCGGACCCTTACAGTAGTAGTTAAGAAGTTGCTGGAAGACATCTTACCCAGGTACAGCTTCCCAGTCTTGATAGGGTCGGATAATGGACCAGCCTTTGTGTCTAAGGTAAGTCAGGGACTCATGTCTATTCTTGGGGCAGATTGGAAATTGCATTGTGCTTACAGACCCCAAAGTTCAGGACAAATAGAGAGAATGAATAGAACTCTAAAAGAGACCCTAACCAAATGGACCATGGAGACTGGCGGAGACTGGGTAGCCCTCCTTTCCCTATGCCCTGTATAGGGTACAAAATTCCCCTTATAAATTAGGAGCCACTCCCTTTGAAATTATGTTTGGCATACCCCTCCCTATAATTCCCTGCTTGTCTGAACACCTGCTTGTAGAATTTGATGACTCTGACCTCTTATGTTCCCTAAAAGCCCTGCAACAAGCCCACCAGGACATGTGGCCCCACCTCAAAGCTCTGTAGGAGACAGGACCCCCTCCTCAGCCGCACAGCTTCCATCCCGGAGACTGGGTCTACATAAAGAGACATGACAGGACTCACTGCAACCTCGCTGGAAGGGACCTTAAGTTGTGATCCTCACAAAGCCCACCGCTCTCAAGGTTGAATCGCCACCTGGATCCACTACTCTCATGCAAAGCCAGCGGACCCATCCTCTGTGAGGAGCGACTTCATTCCCGATTCGAACTCCAAGTGGCAAGTTACTTGCCATAAGAACAATTTTCTTAAACTTAAGATAAGGCAAGAAAGAAAAAAAAAAGATAAAGCGTTTAAACCCTAGTTAGGATGCTATTATTAGGCTGGCTGCTTATTCTTGCTTACATTAGTACTGTTCATTGTAATAACCCCCATTTTCCACATAAGTGGACCTGGGTAATCCAGAATCCAGCAACTGGACATAACATAGTCTTGGCAACTCAGGAAGGACCCCAGATATGGTTCCCGGACTTAGAGTTCGATCTTTGCCAGTTGGCTGAGGGGTCATGGAAACAAACAAAACAAAAAGGCTTTGACACACCCATCCATTATATGAGAAAGAGGTACCTGAGCTCTGATGGCTCAAATGGTCCTCCCTGTAAAATGGACACCTGGTACATGTGCCCCTCCAGAATGTGGGAGTTCTACAGAATATTATTGCAAGCAATGGGGATGTGCGACTAGTGTGGGAGGGTCTGGAGCCTGGGAGGTCACCAGAAGTAACTTAGTAAAATACTCCAGACCACATAATGAGAACTCCTGGATACAAGTCAGATTCACCCCATTATGCCTAAAAGTACCCAAATACCTAAGACTACCCAGAGGATCCCTGAGGAAAGGGACCTAAACTCTCCACCTGAACTGCCCCACCTACTTGTGCCCTGCATTTCAGAGGAGAACACCTTGGGAGCTCCCTTGCGGAAACTACTGCTAAAAACCTATGATGTTGTGAACAAAACCCAGCCCCAGGTGACAGAGTCCTGTTGGATGTGTTATGATATGCAACTCCCCCTTTATGAGGGATAGCTCTCCCAGGAAGTTATACACTGACTAGCAAAGTACAGGACTTCCGTTGGGAAACAGTGGAATCTGGACTTAGCTTAAAGAAGGTTATTGGAAAAGGCAGCTATGTGGGAAACCCACCACCCTCTCTTGCAGCATTTATGCAATCAGACTTCCCAAATGACTTATCTATTACCATCAGAAAACAGTTGGTGGGCATGTGACACAGGCCTTCCCCCCTGTGCTCACACGGCTGTGCTCAACCATACCAATGGATTTTGTGTTATGGTTCAACTTATACCCAGATTAATTTACCACTCTGAAGAAGAAGTGATACTCAGATTAGAAAGTAAGGAATTACAAAGGAAGGTAAATAGAGAAGTAGCTGTAGCCATATTAACCGTAGGAACCCTGTTAGGAGCAGTAGGAGTGGAAACTGGAACAACGGCCCTGATTGAACAGCAGCACTCCTATTTTTCCAGTCTGAGGGAAGCCATAGATGAGGACATCCAAGAGCTACAGAGACAGGTGAAACATTTGGAGGAATCACATGCATCCCTTGCAGAAGTTATGCTTCAAAATTGAAGGGGCTTAGATTTAGTCTTTTTACAACAAGGAGGACTTTGTGCAGCGCTAGAGGAAGAATGTTGTTTTTACGTAAACCATTCCGGGGTAATCAGACAATCAATAGCCAGAGTACAGGAAGGATTGGAGAAGCGGACTATTCCCCTGGCTCACAACTTTAATTTCAGCTTTGGTTGGACCCTTACTTGTAATTATGCTTGCCCTAATAGTAGGACCCTGTATTATAAATAAGTTTGCAGCCTTTGTAAAGGAAAGGATCAATTACAGTCCAGTTAATGGTGTTGAGGGCCCAATATCAGCCCCTAGACAGAAATAATAGAACTGAATCCTATAAGCTCACTCAGAGGAACCCATGATTGGCTTCCAAGGTACCCCCCCCCCCCCCCAGAAAAAAAAGAAATGGGGGAATGAAAGACCTAAGTAATTTCATTCTGCTTGGGGCCTCATTTTGCTCTGAAACTTAACCTCTGACCTACTGTAGTCCTAAAAGTCAGGAAAATACTACAGAAAAGCTCTGTGGAAACAGTTCTTGGAAAAGCCCAGATGGTGATCACCTAAGATAGGCCAAGAGATCTACATATCTGAAATTCCAGACGGCCCCCACCTAGGTGTGATGACCAGTATCTAAACTAGAAGCCCTGCAGTTTGGCACGTACCCCCATACCCCCCTTCCAATCAATTTTAAGTCGTCAACCCCTTGAACTAACCAATAATTCTTTCCAGATTCTTTCATGTTTTAGAGTTGTTGTATGATTTTCCCGCGGTGTGTGATGATTTGCTAAGAGATGCTATGATGTATGTAGGGGGTCCGAGCTCGCTCGCAATAAATACCTCTTTGCTGCTTACATTGATCTTGGTCTCTGGTGGTCTTTAGGGGGTCCCAAATTCGAGCATAACAAAGCAACATAATAAAACTCTGTTAAAAAAAAAAGTGGATGATGTTCTTCACTTTGCCACAATGTTAGATGAGTGACCTTGGTCTTATTCACATGCCAGGCAACCATTATTTCTCATCTTTGTGCTCACTGCTTGAAAAACCAGCCTCTACCTCAGAGCAAAGCCTGTCCAAGGAAGGGACATGGCCTTTGTCCTTGGAAAGACCCACAGAGCACCCCTAGGCACATTCCCACCCTGCTAAGTGGTTTATCTACAAATAACAGGAGAGATCTGCTGCGCCAGGTGTCCCTGACTCAGTCAGGCTAGGTGGGGATCCATAGCAGCCCCCTAGCAGCCACCAATCAGCATGAGACAGGGAAATACCTGGGATGCCAGATGACCCTCCCAGTAGTTTATGGTGTTGAGAAACCATGTAGTTCAGCACTACACCCCTTTTGGCTTAAACCAATCAGTTCAAATGAATACCCCTTTTGTGCTGACCAATCACCCCTACCCAACTTGTTCCCGCCAGTGAATGTGCTAATCATGTTTTAGAGTTGTTATTTGATTTTCCCCGCGGTGTGTGATGATTTGCTAAGAGATGCTATGATGTATGTGAAGTCCCTGCCTTCTCCAAAGAATGTATAAAACTGCTGCAAACCCAGGGCCTCTCAGCGTCACCAGTTGCTGTGTGTGTGCGCGGAGGACTGAGCTAGCTGGCAAGAAACACCTCTTTGGTGTTTACATCAATCTTGGTCTCTGGTGGTCTTTTGGGGGTCCCGAATTCGAACATAACATGCTCAGCACAGTGATTTGCACATATTGACTCTATCAACTTCTAAAATGAGTTGATCTGTCCACCTAAGTCTGCCCAATAACTATTAGAGTTTTTCTTACTTTTTTGATGTTTTGAAAGGCTTTCAAGAATAGTCAAGGAGGGTTGGACATGGTAGTGTACACCTGTAATCCCAGTGAGTGGCTTGGGGGGCTGAGACAGGAGGATCGCAAGTTTGAGACCAGTCTCAGCAACTTAGCAAGGTCCTGAGCAACTTAGTGAGACCCTGTCTCAAAATAAAAAAATAAAAAGAGCTAGGGATGTGGCTCAGTGGTTAAGACCCCTTGAGTTGAATCCTTGGTACCAAAACAATAATAATAAAATAACAATAGTCAAAGAGGGGCCCTGGTGGGTAGAAAGCTGGGGAATTTCCCATTTACAGAATCCTAAATAGACTTGGCATAGTGCCAATAATGACTTTTTTTTTTTTAGTTGTAGTTGGACACAATATCTTTATTTTATTTATTTATTTTTATGTGCTGCTGAGGATCAAACCCAAGGCTTTGCGTGTGCTAGGCGAGCACTCTACCACTGAACCACAATCCCAGCCCCAATAACCACTTATTAATAAATCAGATTTTTAAAACTGAAAGTAATTCTAGGATTATGTGGTTTAAATCCTTCCTTTTACAAGTAGGCCATCTAAAAGCTGAGACTAGCCCCTATGACCTATCTATATTTACTGCGTAGCCTCCTTGGTGGAAGTTTCTGTACGTGCATTTGGTTTAGCTTACTCTAAGACATCTCTTTTCCTTGAACCCTTGATAGGTCTGTCAGTTTCCTCAAGGGACTCCAGCCTAGCTGGATTTTAATCTCTGTGGATGGTGACCTCAGCTATAAAAATTTTAGCTGAGGTTTTAATGGCCAGACTTAAGTGAATTTAACGGCTACGCCAGCGGGTGTTCCAATTACATACACCATTAAAGGGCTTTATGTGAGGATTAAAAAAAAAATTACTATTAAAAAACACTAAACTCCATGGGCAGCACAATTTACCAGTGGGGACAATTTCGATGTCCTGGAAAAGTTTCATATAAAAAGGAAGCGAGGTGAGTAGAAAAGTCACAGAACTCAACACACCTCAAAGGCAGCTTGGGATCCTTGTGACACTTTGCCTCCAAACAGGTAAAATGCTTTGTACTTGTAAAGCTGTCAGTCTGTTGTGTTAGTCTGAGCTTGCATGCTATCATGTGTCCTTGGGGCACTACACCCCAAAGGTTTAGTCCAGGCCAGACGGGTGTATAAAGCAGGCTTGTCCTTCACTGACCTTATCACGGCCAGCTGCAGAGATTGGGCCTTTAGGACACCCAAGACCCAATGAACTGTGCTACTTGGACTTTAGCCTCTTCCCCATCAAATGAAAGTTAGTCTGAAGACACAGTTCATCAGCTCAATACAAAGCCTGTATTCCTTTCCTTGGAAAGGAAAGCATGGGCTCTGCGACTCACCACTTCGAAGTGGGTTGAGTCCTTTCTTGCTCTCACAGCCGGTCTCTCACAGCAGTAATGCTTGAAAGACTAGAGAGAAGAGTCAGAAAAATGCATCAATCCCATAGTGTAGCCATTTGCAGTCCAGCACCTTCAGCCAGAGACACCTAGCAGGGGCTGTGCAGCAGAGTGGAGCAGGTGGCGCAATTCTTTTAAATGGAATAGTTGAAACCAACCGGAAAATGGGGAAATGGGAAGGCGAAAAGACACATTTGATCAGGGAGGAGGTCTTGGGTTTTAGATATCCAAACAAGCAATCAAAATAATCATGACTCCTTTGGCACAAAAAAATACTGAATATGTGAGCTTAACATTCTGATTTTGGTCCCCAGTGGCTAGGAAACTCAAAACAGTCAAACAGAGGTCTGTGTGTAAAATTAGGAGTGTAACTTACACTTTCCACAGGTTCGTGATATAGATGTGGGTCTTGTCATCCAGAGTTCTTTGTGGTCTGTTTTCACTGAGAGTTCAGTCTGGGTCTGTTTTGATTGTGCTTTGAAGTTCCTTAGAATGGAGCCCACTCCCAAACTCCTGGCTGGACTCCTCCTGCTGACCCTGTGTGTGCAGGGCTGTTCCAGCCAGCATTGGTCCTATGGATTGCGCCCTGGAGGAAAGAGAAATGCAGAAAGTTTGTCTGATTCTTTTCAAGAGGTGAGTTTCTCTCTCTCAGCTTCAAAATAAGACTTATTTTGATAAGACTTAGCTTATTTGGTTCAACTTAACCAAATAAAAGATCCAGTGTGGCACTAGACTGTACTCCACCCTGGCTAGGTCAGGAGGAAAGGACTCTTACAAAGGTCAAGTCCAATTTCTACTTTCAGTTCAGTCAGGTGCTGATGAAACAGAGCACAGCAAACACCGGGGGAATACAACCATGCAGGACGTCAGTCATGCCCTCCGTGGGTGCAGTTCCACGGGAATTAGAATAACTGGGGGAAATCCGGGGTCTCTAACAGGTGATTCTTTGCCTTTGGGAAAGATAATCTTAAAATTTCTGCTTATTTTTTTTCTATTTCATCTAAATCTACAATATTAGATCAGTAGTATATTTCAAAATGTGTAAGTAGGTGTCCTTATGGAGGAGGTATGCTCTAGATTTCTTTTCACCCATAGAAGCATTTAAGCAAGGAAGTGGGAGTTAACAAATTTAAGACAAGGCAATGGGGTAGAGAACATGCTGGATTTAATTTCATACAGAGGAGATTACACACTAGCACCAGCATTACCGTGGGTTTTTTTTTCTTTCTTTTTGTTTATAAAATATGACTTCTCAGGGATGGATGAGGATTATAGTTCATTAATCCAAAAAATATCATAGGGCTATGAATGGGAAATGTAAGTGGAAAAACTCAAAACCATTCAGTTTTCATTGAAAAGAAATACCATTTTTGTTTTTGTTTTGTTTTTTTTTTTTTTGTTGTTGCTGTTGTTTTTGAGAAATAACAAAGATAAAGAAACCCCAGGATCTGAAGTCTCTTCTCCATATATCATATGTGAGGCAAATCTCATTAAACTATGACACATTAAAAACTAGAAAATAAAAAACATTCCTCTTCACAACTATAAATACTTGGGCTGCCTCTTCATGAGATTCACAGTTCTTCAGTCTCATACATCTCTAAGGAGAGAACACGGTCTCCTCTCATCTGCACTGCCTCCAGACCTCCACTCCAGCTATAAAAATGCCTCACGTCCTCCAAGTCCCCTTCCTAATCCTGAAGTTATTCCAGCCTCCCACTGAGCCCCACAGCCTCTAGACTTCACTCGCAATTTCTGGTGGCAACGGAGAATGCCATTTTGTTTTCTCATCTCCATCTCCATGGGTCATATTTTTTTCTTCAGATAGCCAAAGAAGTTGATCAGCTGGCGGAACCCCAAACCTTGGAATGCACCATCCACCAGCCACGGTCCCCCATCAGGGACCTGAGAGGAATTCTGGTGAGTTACAGTGATCCTAACATGGAGATTCTCAGATGGACTGGCCCTTGGGTACCACTCATGACCACACTTGCCCGCTGTGGGACTTACCTCCTGCCAGGACCCCACCTGTGCCTCGGACCTCACTATTTAATGACGTTCCCACTCAGTGATTAGACTCATGGCTGGACCTTTGTCCCCCCTTTAGTTGAGTTGAAATCCTTCTATGAGCTTTATCTGCTAATCCTGGCTCCAGCCTTTGGGAGGATCTATAAGAATGTCTTCCCACTGCCATACTTTAATTCTCCAAGTACATTCACCAACCCCCTCAAATATTCTTCTCTGTGCTGATTTCTACATGCCATTTGATTCAGCAATTGTTCTAGGATGGTTTTCCAGGGCCCTACAAAATGTGGGCACTAAAAATGGTGTTCTAAATTTAATTCCCCCTTTGGATTAAAATAATTCAAACTCAAAAATTTACTGCTCAGAGCCACAGATTTTATTTCCAGTTCTCTATGAAGACTAAATTCACCCCCCCCCAAGTGGCAGTCTACTAATGTAACATGGTTTGAAAAAAAAAGTATAAAACAAGTTAAGTGCAGAAATCAAAACTTTAATTCAATGTGAGCATTCTCTGAGCTCCATGGACCGCTTACTTGCACAGTCAGAAAACATGGTTCATTTTCAATTATAGCCTGGGAAAGTCCAAAAAATCATAAATGAAAATAAGCTATATTTTTCAAATTTCTCCAGTGACTGCAACTTCCATACCCACAGGACAGAGAAAAAAGTGGGTACTCATTTTTATTTCCTTTCTTTCTTTAAAGAAATCATGCATATGCTAAAAAAAAAAAATAGCAAGCTGTTAAATTTCCCAAATATGACATTACGAAGGAACTGAAGCCAAGGCTGGTTTAATAGACAACTGAATGATGAGACCTTTCTTTCATCTTCTTCCATATATCTAATCCTTAACCTATTATTAGATTGTTTACCAAGAGGCTTAAAAAGATACAGTCTATCCTTCCTACCTAGCATTTTCTAGTACCTGATGATGAATGGGACTTTCCTCCTTTTTTAATGTAATGAGGTTAAGTGACTCAGCACGACCTTGATCTATTTGTTACATTTTCCAGGAAGGTCTGATTGAAGAGGAAACTGGGCAGAAGAAGATTTAAATCTACTAGGCCAGAAGGATGGACAAACCTTGATATTGAAATCTGTGACCCATTCCCTATCTGTAAATCGTGTGAATTTCAGAAATTCTTACACCAAGCGCCACATAGTTCACAATAAAGTGTTGTGTTGGGAATAAAATGGTATAAGTGCAAAGTCTTTCCCTCACTCTGAGCTCAGGTGGGGAGGGACTTTGCTCCTTCTGAAGGATCCCTCCATGTGTGTACTGGTGGCAGATGGGAAAGGAGAGGACATAATGTCTATTGTGGACTAAAGGGATCTTTCTGATGGTTCTCATCTGTCTCCTCTGCATGCACGAGGAGAATGGCTGCATATTGGCCCAGGCCAGAAAAAGCTGATTCACATTCTGTAGGACTGCAATTCCATCTTGACCATTCTCTACAGAAGTTAAGATAGAGCCATGGCTGAGGCTTCCTGCCACTTGGAAAGAAGTTCCCTCCCTCTATTGTACCTACCTCCTCTGAAGGCCAGCTGGAGCTCCAGTGAGGCCTGCGGGAAGAGGGGGCCTCACAGGACTCTTGGTCCAGTGTTCTTTTTCGCTCCATAGGATCTGTCCAAGCAGTGCACAACTGAAGGTCGGGACTGTCTTAATTTGCCTTCTGTTGCTATAACAAAATAACAGAGACTGGTACATGTTAAGGAGGAGAGGCTTATTTGGGCTCAGTGTTGAAGGCTGATCAGTCCAAGCTCTGGAGGCCTCCTCTGGAGAGGGCTTCACACTGTCTTCACATGGTGGATGGAATCACCTGGAAGGAACAGGTGCAAAAGTGGACAGGTGTGTGGAAGAGGCCAAATGTGGGCTGACCTCACCTGACTCCAATCCACTCTCATGGCAATTACTTCAGCCCCACAGATTGAATGCTTGTGAGGCAGGCGTTAGTGCCTTCTGTTGGTGGGGCTACCTCGACCTTGACCTTGGGGACCAAGCTTCCAGCACACAAATCTTTGGGGACAAACCACATTCCAACCACAGAAGGGACCCATGCCTAAAAATAAATGTTTATCTGCTTGATTCTTTTTGGTATTTTGCACAAGAGGGCATCCTGGTGTTTCCTGTCCCTGGCCCCTCAACTTCACTGCTACTCAACGCCACACAAAGACCAAAGGTGGGCTCTGTGCTAGGTCGGTGCACTGATATTTTCAGTAAACAGTCGGTGGTAAATAGATGCTACTGTCTTCACTTAAAAAACGAGGAATGTTAGGTTCAGAGGGCTAAGGTGAACCCCTCGGTTCTGCCTGGTTCCACATCCACTGCTCCTGTACTGGATGGGGCCGAGCAGCCAGTGAAGCTCCGTCCTTGGATGCTGGTTATTTTGCTGAAACAGGTCACTGGAGCTCAGGTGTCATCTTACTTCTACTGGTAGTCAGTTCTCCCTGAGACTGTGACCCCAATATGTTCATTTATTGTCCTAACTTCCAGATGGCTACGAGACCATCTGAAAAACTCAATTTTCAGATCAAGTCTAAGCAACAAATTAACATGGGAAAGTTCTAGGCCCTTTTGCCTCTTTTAATCAGACAAATGAAGCCTGTTTCTAACTCCCTGTCCCTCCACGTTCAAAAAGAGGGACACCTGTGCTAGGAAATTCAACAAAGGTCAGAAGCATCCCACTGGGGAGCAGACCCTCCCTTTTTAATAAAATATTTGTGTCTGCACAAAGCTGGACTTCCCAAGTGTCTCCATTTGAAGAATCTCTAAAACTTAAAGAACTTCTTCACTCCCACTTCAATAAAATTCGATAATGATGTGTCCACAATCTGCTTTATGGAACAAAAGCATAACTGCATTATTTTATTAGTCAATAGATAGATACAAGTCAGGATGACAGGCTTCCATCTGCCAATCACTCAGTAACTGCTTTTACAAAAACAATATAATTTACAATCTTTACATTAATGAACACATTTTCCAAAAAGTCCCACTCCCACTTCATGTACGTGTCCTGCTTGAAGCATCAGGTGTCCTCTGTCACTCTTCTTCTCTGGGGCAATCTCTTTGGAGCCAGCTGCAGGCCTCCCTGAAGGTGAGAAATGCTCATCCGTCTGCCTGGCGCTGGTGTTACTGGCTCCTGGTGGCACTGGTGGTTTGCAGTTTACGTGAGCCTCTTGGGTCCACTTGATTCCCAAATGACCAAGGGGAAGGAGGAGAGTGAAAATAGCCCCTTTGTGCCGTCACGTGGTGTACACCTGTAATCCCAGTGGCTCAGGAGGCTGAGGCAGAGAGATCGCAAGTTCAAGGCCAGCCTCAGCAATATAGCAAGGCCCTAAGCAACTCAGCAAGACCTGTGCCTAAATAAAATATAAAAAAGGGCTGGGGATGTGGCTCAGTGGTTAAGAACCCTTAGGTTCAATCCCCAGTTAACAAACAAACAAACAACCAAAAAACAAAAAAACACAACCCTTTACTCAGATGTCAAACATGTTCCTGAATCTGAAGAACTCGCTCATCAATATATCAAAATAAGCCTCTTAAAATAAAGGGTGGGGAAACATCAAAGCACACATTTAATGTGATAAGTTATCCAATGTATGTGACTTTAAATGATCAAGTAGCAAAAGGATTGGCTTGAAAATAGACAGGTCATTTCCAAAGTTTTAAAAGCTTTAACACCCCCTAGAGATAACTGGAGAAAAAAACCAGAATCCCTGTGTGAGCTGACAACACTTAGTGATTCTGATAGTGGAAGATACTTTAAAGTAGAATTTCTTAAGGGGCTAGGGGTGAGCTAGGGATGTAGCTCAGCGGGTACAGTGCTTGCCTTGCATGCATAAGGCCCTGAGTTCAATCCCCAATGCCACCCCCCCCAAAAAAAAACACAAAAAAAGTGCATTTTTAATCAGCAAATGGGTGACAGACAGTGGAGAATTACTGCTTTGCTTTTACAAAGTAATAGACTGCAAATGTTTGAAAGCATTGGGGAACTTTCTTCAAACACACACACAAGTCCCTCCAGCTGCAATGGGACCTCCCTCCCTCCAACCTGATCAGCCACCTGCATGGATTTTACAAAACACGCCCAACTACCAATTTCTCAACCTTGGCCTAGTGTTGGAACAAATGGAAACTCTGAATGAAATATGAGCCTGGGTTCCACTCCCCGCCCCCAAAAATGCTGATAGGACTGGGCTGGGCTGGGGCCTCTTCCTAGTTAATAAAGAACCTTCCCCCTAGGCTGAGAATCAGTTCCTATCCTTCCCCTGTGAGAGACAGTCTTTCTAAACTTCTCCATTTCTCTCTTTACCTCTGCCAAATTACCCATGATGAATGAGGAAGGAAATAAAACCTACATACATCAAATAAACTGCCATCAGAAAACCATCAGGTCAGGTGCCAAAGGCATGGACAGGAGGCGTGAGGATAACCAAATGGTCTGAAGTTTTTATTACTTCTGGGCACAGATGATTCCAGGACCCCAAGATACACGTTTCAACCAAGAGGACCCACAATACACCAGCCAGAGGGAGCCTGGGCGTGATGTGTCTTCAAAGAGGTGTCAGGAAGGAAAAATTCCAAGTTCATGATTTCATTTCATTAATAAAAGTAATAACAAACTAAACATATAATGAACATTAAAATACATCTCCATGTTTAATTTAAAAAATAAATAACAGCAAATCCGAACAAAATTCTTCTACCAATGCACATCTTCCTAACTGTCCATGTTTAAAAACCTAACTAGGTACAAAGTCATGTCAAAGGAGTAGCTGTAATGGTTTGGATGAATGACTCACAAAAAAATGATTCATAGATGACTTTGGCAGCATGCACACAAGACCAGCTTTGGCTGGATCAGAAGAATCCGCCTGCAATCATGAACATGAAAGGAAAACTCTCGGTTCCTCTTGTGGATTAAAATGGAGGGCTCTGAACCCACCCAAGGAGAAACTTGACTTTTTCTAGTTTTAACAACTGTCTGACAGGAGAGTGAAAGCCTCTAAGGAACTGATTTTTACCAAAGGACACAGAGAAGCATGATTCTTCAAATGAACTGGAAGTCTAGACATGGTGGGTCAGGTTGGCAGAGTCTTAAGAACAGTGTGGAAATGACATCATTTACAGGCTACTGAAAAGAATTACAGTGACTTAGGTCAATATTTCAAAAATATGTGCAAGAGTCGTTATTTTAATATCTGCCAATATTTTAATCTTAAGAGCTAAGGTATAGGTGGGTCAAAGCACCAATGTGGGATAAAAATTGGGGATTCCAGTGCATGGACCTAAAAGCCTTAGTAAGAATGTTTCCTTTTTTTTTTTTTTTTTTTGGTGGTGCTGGGGATTGAACCCAGGGCCCAGGGCCTTGTGCATGTGAGTTGGTGAGGAATTTTCCTTCTGACTCACTTAAAATAAAAGAAGCTAAGGCTGGAAGGGATTTGAAGAAAATCATGCCGACTCTACTATGTAAATATCAGTTTATTTCACAGACGAGGAAACTGAGGCTTAGGAAGTGCCTATAAATTGACTTGTTAAAATGGATCTCATCTCTATAGTCTTAACTCTATGTTGATGGTGGGGTTTTCTCCCCTTTTCATTACACCTGAGAAGGGTGAGGAAGGAAGGCACGAGCTTAGAGGACCTTCTAAATGCCATTCACAAAATGGTGCTACGGGTACCTTCTGGAAGTGGGTAAGTGAATCTAGAGGTGTTGACACACACGGTGGGCAGCTATCTCGAAATCCATCCATCCACACTCCCAGGATTTGTGCCCTGAACTGTATGTCATTTTCAATTGAATTGTCCCACAATCTGGAGGCCAACTAGAGGGGAGAGACTCTTCCAGGTTGGAGAGTTGACCAAGGTGGGTCACCTCCTATCCTGCTTGGCACCTTGCTTCATCTTGGGACTTGCATTGTGGCTGTGGTTTATAAGGGGTTTCCCTGGCAGGAGGAGATGACCGTCATCACGGAGCCACGGGTGGAGGTGGAGGAGGTGAGCAACCCATGCCCAGCAGCTCTATTTAGGGTTTCAATTTCACCCTGGCTTTGCAATCCTGCAGCACCCAGAGGGAACTGCTTTTGTATTCTGGGCTGTTTCCACTAAATATGCTCCAATGCTAAATCCTGAGGGGTTAACAGTGGGTCTGGCCTTCGAGAGCAACTTCGTAGGTGCTGAATGCCACACTGCTTTGAAAAAAGCATCTCCAAGCAAGACAAAAGACACCAGCATAGACAGGGAGGGAGAGAGAAATAAATGATAACAACACAAACCATAAACCAGTATTCACAAAGGTGGTGGCAGTTTGGGGGCTAATTTCAATGTCTTGCTAAGGTCTCTGGGAAAACAAAGACCAGTCCCTTCCCTCTTCTCCTGTTGCTCAGCTCTTCTACATTTACCATAGTCATCAGGTGCTCCTCGGCATGCTTCCTCTTTGACCTCAGGACAGACATTATTTATGACTTCCTGTCATGAACACTGGCCTATCCCCTGGCTTCCCAAGGAAACAACCTTCCAATGTCCTCTGCAAGCCAGTCTCTGCCACACCACCGGGGATCCTCTGTGTTTGAAGAGTCGAGAACTCTTATTCTCATCAACATGGAAAAGGAGTCACATGGAAAATATATGTTCTATACAAAAGAGAGAGACACCACCTGGACACTGGTGGGTCACATCTCCCTCACCCTGCCCAGAGACCAGACCGGAAACTCACTGCTTCTGCTGGAGGGACAGGCTGGAGGCTTGTGGGTTTTTTTTTTTTGG